GTATAGAAGTCATGGACCCACAGAAGAGAAATAATAACATGTAGCTGTCAGGTATTATATATTTTGAAGACAGAATCTGTTCAAACAAGCCAATCATGTTAATTAGTTATTTCAAATTTTAAAAGCCATCTTTCAAAGAACTAGGTCAAAAATTGGTATCTCTCATGGGACATACCAAATATGTTCATATGTGCTATCACACTATGGCTTGACCTTGCGAACAGCTGCCATGAAGAATTCCACACTCATGCTAGGTGATTAGCAAATGAGAACAGCAAAAGGCAGTGCTGAAAAATATCGACACAGGTTGAAAAAACGTATAGTTGTGTACATTTACTTTATTTATCATTTTTTACAAATAAGGGTCATGGTGTCTTGTTCAGACAAAACCACAAATTATGATTTGTTGCAGACCAAGATCAGAAATTACTAGCCACTCCAGGGAGGAAGGAATATGAACATCACAAGACTCACACTGTTGTATGATACCTGAAAAACCTCTTCAAGCAAGAAATATTGACGGGTTCGCCAGTATGAGGGGTGGTGGTATTATTATGAATGGACCATTAAGAGCCATTAGCTTAGAAAATAATTCCTTTTGGCGGAGGTAGAAACTGTCAGAATAGATTTGTTTTACATAGATTGATAAGGAGGATACATTTGGGGACTCTTTATCTTTATTTGTGGCTATTTATCTTATAATGCTGTCACCAGTTCAAAATCTACTGCTATTCCACAGCAGATGGCAGAGGAAAATCACCCTGCCTGTCAAGGCCCTTGTATTTCCTCCAAATGTTTTTTGAAAGGTTGGAAGATTCTCTGGAGGGGGGGCAGGGTTTGGGGAGCTGAGGGAGAAGGGAAACTCTAACTCCACTTGCATGAGAAGAGGTTATATGCAAGGGAAACAAGAACTGCCAGTTTGGGGCAGTGGACAGACTTGCCAGATTAGGACTCAGGAGACCAGGCTTTAAATCCCCCTTGGTCATGAAAACTCACTAGAGGGAAACACTGGTAAAACCACTTCTTCAGTATTAAATATCTCACATACCTGGATAAACCCAACTAGGATTGCCAAAATTCAGATGCAATTTGATGGCACATAACAAACAAAACAAAACAGAATTTGGAGACAACCTCCACAGCTTATCATAACTCACAAGGAATCTCTACAAAAGTCCAGAGAGGTCAAATCATTAATTAACCACAGTGCAAGCTGACAATTTAATGTGAAACAGAAACATCAAGTGGCTGCTTTTCAGTTGAGAGAAAGCTGTCACCAAATGAACCGTATCTCTCCAAAGGGCAGTGAGGCAGAGGGGCATATGTAGCAGTTACGAATATAAAACTGAACTAGCCATGGCTTGAATAGAGGCTGGGATATTCCTGTGGCCTTCTGGGTGCTGCTGGACTGTGCTTCTAATCATCTTGTTTATGCAGGCTGGCATTTGTTGGAGGCTGTGGTCTGGCCATAACTGGTGGTCTGCAAATTCTCCAATTCTACTTTGGAATGACTGATATTCCCAGGAAACAAATGTGGGGGCGCTAGTTCTGGTTGCTATCAGGAACTTCTGAGCTCTAATTTATGGCTCTGCCAGCCGTAACTTGGGGTGGGTGGAGCCAAAGGTTGTATACCAGAAGCAGGCATCCAGTGGTGAGTCAGAGGGGGCAATGAACTACTCCCAGGATGCTCCAGGGCTGCAAAGACTATTAAAAATGCAACCTTCTCTGTAGAAGTAAAAAAAATTTGAAGTGGCCACGGATCTACTTTCAGTTTTGAAAAGCAGGAATTTTTGTGAGCTAAATAGTAGGGGCATATAAGGGGTTATGGCCTATTAAAAAGGTGTATCTCCTGGAGGATCCAGGAACATCAACACATCTTTTTTTGATCCGCCTAAGATGGTAAAAGGTGGTTCGGTTTTGGGAGTGAGTTACAGGCAGAGGAATGGGGGTGGGCACAGAAATAGGATTGGGAAACACTATGTCCACCTATGCTGTATATATCGGTAATAGTAACCTCTGCCCTTTCTAGTTGTTTCTCTCCTTCTGTCTTTCACTTTTTAATGTCGCCACACATATAAAATACCTCTCAAGGTTATTCAAGGGTCCTGCTGAGCTAGGATGAGGGCTCTCTTTTAAATATGACACATATAAAAGAGAGGCACATATGAAGGTATTTTCTGAGAATGTCTCCAATACAACCTTAAAAAGAGAACCGATGACATGCCACCTACTTGTCATTCTGTGCCTGATCCATAACTAGCCAGCTAGTGTAGGCTCAAAGAAAAACAATTAATGGGAATGTTGATGTCAATTTACTTCTGCAATGGCTAGGAATCCATCACTATCAGTGGAAAGGGTTGGCACATTCAGCATCCTGTGCTCAGAAATAATATCAACCCTCCACCCCAGAGGACAGTGATGCAAAAAAAGTGCCGGACAGGGCTACCCAAACCTTTGAGTGGCTGGAGCAGCTATCTTATGAGGAAAGCTTATACTGTCTGCAGTGTTTTGGAAATGGTGAAGGGAGATGTATAAATATAAAATGAGCCAGTGTGTGGAGGACGTTGAGGGAATTGGAGTCATCCAGTAAAACAGAATAGTAAGATATTCAAGAGATATAAAAGACAGACAAAAGGAATTATGTATTATCAGGACTTACGAAAACTGAGGAATTTGCCATCTCAAGATGAAACTGATGGTCACCAGCTTGAAAAGGGGAGATTAGGCAAAGTCATGGAAGATACAGTTTTCAAGAGCAGCTAGTGAGGATGCCTATATGTCACCTCCAATATCACAAGGCAAGCATATCTCTGTATATCAGGTGCTGGGGAACACAAGAGTGTGGGTATGTTGCACTCCTGCTTGTGAGCCCCTAAAGACTTATGTGGTTGACCAGAATGTGGGACACGGACAGTCTTTGGTCTAATTCAGCCAACCTCTTTTCTGGTTCTGCTCATCTCAAGATATTTCATAGTTTTCTTCAATTACCTGAATTAGAGATTTTCCCATCATTTGCTGTTCCGGCATTTCCTGGAGCGACCAGAACCTGCTTCACCTGAGGAGACTGTGCCAATTTCCAAGCCAGAGCGTGTTCTCTGCCCCCACTGCCAATCACAAGCACTCGAACTGCCATCTGAATGTGCAGAAGCAAGAGATAAAATAGTATCAGATGTTATACCCTAAGCAAGGTTTTTAGTAGCATCATTTGCCTCACTGGTGTTATCACGTTACCAATATATATTTTACATGATAAATTTTGGCTTTGCTTTTCCATCTGTTGATAGATCCTACTAGAAAAAAAGAACCAAAGTACACTACATCGAACTAACTTTTCTCACAGGTTTCCCGCAGTTTACGTAGTTACTTATGCCAAACCTTTAGGTTTTGTTAATTTATGACTGATCCCACCCTATATTACATATGTATATTTCAGTGCCATGAGTCTTGCTTAGCAATACCCTTTGTTACCCTTAAACACACTGTGGCATATAAGGGTACTATCCAACACAAAGCCACAATTTCAGGATTCAGGGCAGGCTAAATAATTTTTAATGTACTGTAATTCTATCCATATCTACTCAGAAGTGAATACTATTAGTATTCACATAATATTTGTGTGTAATTTGCCACAGCTAATTGTGGCTAATGGATAAAGTTCCAGGTTGTGTCTCAGTTGTATCAGCTCTTGTGGTTGAAAATGGAACAGAGATGCATCCTTGCACCTCATCATTTAACCATGCCAAGCTATATAAATACTAACATAATTCTGGCCATTGAGTTGAATACAGTATAGTCAGAAGGAAGCAGATACAAAATTGGAACCTTAATGGCATGGGGCAAAAAATGCCTGCTCCCACCAAGGTCTACCCGGATCACCCGCGCGAATCAGGAGGTGAGGCTGAGGAGCCTGACACTGAGAGAGGCCTGGAAGGAAAAGACACGAAACCGGGCCTTCTCAGCGGTGGCTCCTCGCCTCTGGAACAACCTCCCTTCAGAGATTCGTGCGGCCCCTACGCTGGGAATCTTTAAAATCCAATTAAAAACATGGTTGTACATCCAGGCCTTCCCTCTAGTCAATACCTGATTTCTTTTCTATTCCTTCTTATTTTATTCTCACTCTATTTTATTTTATTGTAACTGTATCAAATGATTATGTAATGTTCTTGTGTTTTATTGTTTTATCCTATACTGGAAGCCGACTAGAGTGGTCGAATAGACCAGATAGGCGGGGTATAAATCAAATAAATAAATAAATAAATAAATAACAGTAAAGTTAAAATCCCTCCTTTTACATATTCTCTGCATTCAGTTTTAATGGGAGCAGTGCCTGTTCAGGGGGGAAATTAGGCAATTACTTTTGGTATCCCATAGAAACTAGAAAAATGGATTCTTTTAAAGCACCTTGATCTATAGCTTCAAGCTACGGGAAGGGGGAATTGGAGGAAATTATTCTTCATGTTGACAGACTGTCTTTGCTATGGAAGCCTGTATATAGCCCTGAGGAGGATACTGGCCACGGTGCAGAAAAAGACACTCTAATCCCTATTCCATAATAACAACTTTGAGTATAGCAGATTTTAAATCTGCAACATCATCATGTAGGTCTTTTGAAAAAAACCCAAAACTCATTTTAACAATAAAATCCCTCAAAAATTCAAATTAATAAAAAATCTGTTTAAGTTATTTTACATAATTGATCTTTATCTATTCTGTTTCCAAGCTCTGCTGAAACACTGAGATTTAAGTTAATCATGATTTCATTGGGCCTGCACTACATATGACTGGGTTGTATCCAATCTCATGAGGGAAAGTAACTATAAACTGCAACTTTTTTTTTCTGCAAGGAATATTGACAGTTAGAAATAAACCTTTGAAAATAAAGATAGGACTTCTCTCTCTCCATGGTCTTGCAAACAGTTCCATGGTTAGTCCACTCTGTTCTTTAACAGTGAGGATGTAATCTTTGACAAACAGAGCTGAGATTAAAAGGAAGCTGTTAGGCAGAGATTTTACAGAGTGTAAAGCTGCAGTTCAGTATATCAGCTTTCCCCAACCCTCAGCCATGCTGGATAGAGGATGAGAGATGTAGTCCTGGAGAAGGTTTGGAAACACTTGTATATCTGCTCAGCTGTTCCATAAAACTAAATGGGACATAATTGTGCTTAGACATACATAATGTTACTCTGTAAAGCCGCAAATCCAAAGCACACTTACTTGAGACTCTCTGGATTTTGCTTCAGAATAAATCATAAAAGCCACAAACTGCACATTCCACCATATAAGCCCATAGGGATGACAAAGGAGATACTCCTGGTTGCTGGTGTGAGATACAGAGGAAACTACAGTACAAAGGTCACAGTTTACACCAAGTGCAGTTACTCTCTGGGATCTAAAATGGACAGAATGTCTATGATTTGAAATTTAAGAGGAAGACGGACTGTGTATAATGTTAACATAAAATACTAAATTTTATGATATAGAGCAAAAAACAGATACAGAAATTATTTATATAGTAAATGATTTGAATCATTACTAAATAGAAAATAATATATGCTACTCTCTGAATTCCAAACATCTATATTTGTTAGAGAAATTCTGTTAAAAATAACTCCTGAATTCCTGCAGGGTTAAGTATGTAAATCAATTTTCCTCCAGATAAATACATTTGAAGCTGTCATGCAATAGCAAGAGTATCAGAAGAAATTGTCTGTTTTTGAGGATTAAAGAAACCATTCTGTTACAACTGGAGTTAGAGGCTAATACAATGACAATGTACTTACTGTGATCTAGACAGTGGCAAAGGAGGGAGAGGGCTTTCCCAACAGACAACCCCCCCAAAAAGGAAAGAAGAGAACAGCCTCCAGCTGTAAGTATATCAAAACCTCATTGACTGACAATGAGCAAGCAACCAATGAACAGAAGAGTCCAATTTAGCATGCATAAAAAAGAGGGTGGTTAGAAGTGGTCACTGACATGTGATTTCACTAGCCTAGATAAGATCATTATCTTAGTAAAAGAGTCAAACTAAAAATTAAGCATCTTCTCTTACCACTTTTTAAATTCCAAGTAACCATACAGCTGGTTCTACATGCCCATGTCAAGCCCTCCTGATGTCACCAATCAACATTTTTGAAAAACTGCAAAAACCTTCAAAATAATACCTGTGGCGTCAGCGACATCATGGGGGGGGGAGAGGGAAAGACACTGAAAATCCTATGGGGGGCTTTCAGCATGTCTGAAACAAGTCTTTGGATGCCAGCTATACAGTATTTTATTACATGTAAACGCTGGAAACTGCTTTAGGTATCCAGGGCATCACCTCCAGCCCTCTAGCCTACTAAGAGTGAAACTAGCCTTATAAATAAAATTGAATGTGTGTGTCAGTCAGAAAATAAGCAACCCACCCTCTAGAGTCCTAGCATATCCATACATAGAGCAGTTCCTGCTGTCTAAATTTGTGGTCTTTTCCAAATGTCCCAGTGGCCTTGGAGATTGCATAGAAAATGAAACAAATGGCTGCATCTTAGTTTCAGAGGAGGAGGTATTTTCTCCATAGCAGCTACATTTGTATCCAAGAAAAAAAAAACAGAAACAAAGAAAAGGTGAATTTGTTCTTTTCACTTACAGTACTGTATCTCCAAAGTATTCTCAATAAGTGACTCATGAACCAAAACAGTATTAAAAACTAACTTAGTCATTAGACTTAGGAGCAAGAAGAGGACTAATAGCTTTATGCCTGAACTGGGTATAAGAGTACTTGGACATATTACTTTTTGGACTGCAACTCTCAGAATACTGTACCATGGTCAAACATGACCATCTTGCAGGATATGTTATTCAGGGAGTTGCAGTCCCAAAAAGTAATTTGTCTAAACTCTGAATCATGAGAACATGTGTAAGAAGAAATTTGTTGCTTTCTTGGCCTCAGCTCCCATGGATTAGCCCTGCCCTCCTAAATGCTTGATTGTTACAGGGCAGTATGAAGACCCCATGTACTGTACTTTTTCTTCAAGATGAATAGAAACCTCACTGCAAACAAGGATTTTATTAGGGTTCCTGTTCATGCAGAGCCTTTTATTTACATTCGAGCAAAAACTGAACAGTCCCAAGATGTCCCCAGAAGAAGAGAATCGTGAATTTACATTCGAGCAAAAACTGAACAGTCCCAAGATGTCCCCAGAAGAAGAGAATGGTGAACAACTTCTGAGTACTACAACCTGCCAGCACAGGGATAGGCAGATATGGTCTACTGGCAGACTACTTTCCTTGCCTCCCACGTGGTTTTTTTTTTCAGTTCTTAACTCAAATCTAAGTATGTAAGTCAAGTCAATATTTTCCTATGAGAGTGGTTCTTAAGTCAAAATGTTCTTAACTCGAGTCGTTCTTAAGTCAAGACCCCACTGTACTATAACCTGCTAGCACAGGGATAGGCAGATATGGTCTATTGGCATGCCACTTTAGCAAGGAAGGACAACAGCAGAGTCCTCCGGCTCCAGCCTCACCTCCATCAAGTGTCATAACTGTCATGCATTCTATGAATTTTTTTTAAAAGGCCACTTTATACATTCACTTTTAAAAATCTCTTTCCTCCAACATTTTAAAACATGAAATGGCCTAAGCTTCATCTGAGCTACCAGACAGTCTGTTTCCTGGCAGATATCGAATTGATTTGCAGTAAATTTCACTATGGAAAAGGACTCAAGAGTTCATTTCTGGTACCGAAAACATATTACTGGAAACAGTTTGGATTACTTTTTGGATCACAACTCTCAAAATCCCTCATCTAGCATGGCCACATATTCCCGAAAGGGCCAAAAAAATGGATTATTTTGTTCTTTTGGTGTTAAAAGGCTAAAGCTTGGTTTGACATCTGCTGCTGAAGTCATCATCAGCATTTAACTCTCTCACCAATGCATCAAATGTTAGGCTTGTTACTCTTTCTATGCACAGAGCTAAGCATATTGCACACTTACCTCCAAAGGCAAATTGAAGGGATAAATTAAAAGTTATACTTGGGGATCTGCAAGGGATGAGGAACTTTGCTGCAGTTTAACAGTACAGTATCTGAAGGACTATTTGTTCTCCAGATGCAAATTAAAATGTGCACAAAATAAACACACACTTTTAGTAAGGAATAACTAGCAGTAACAGAAAGGGCAAACACTTCAGTCCTAGGGAACTAAACCCAGAGAAAACACAGAGGACTATGAGGAGGACATGAGGCAGATATAAACTCTTTGCACCCTCCTATCCCCATCTGCAAGAGGCCAAGTAGAAATTTAATTCTGCCTCTCATGCATGGATAGGGAAAAGAACCATCACTATCATTGTCCTGCGGTGCAGATCTGCTTACCTATTTGATGGGTGTCCTTTCCTGGTCCTAATAGCTGCTTCTTAAAATATCAATGTTACCCCCCCTTCTCTGTTCTCCAATGTCCCTTTCCCCACAAGCACATGTACAAATGTCTACACAGTCGGAAAACCCTCCACGCCTCTGATGGGCAGCCAGCAACAACAGCTCATGTCACATAAAACTTTTTTTAATGTGCCACATGACTTTTCGGTTTTGCTGCAACAGATATCCTCCCTTCTCCAAATTAATGGAAATATGGTGATTCATAGGTTGAGATAGCTCAGATTTTTTTGGAGGGAGGGGTGAATTTGTTATATACGCCAAACGCTCGTAAACTTTGAAACAAAGTTACATTGTGAACGCAACACGATAAAGGTCGCGCTGCTCCTGGTAAACGTATGGAATAAGTAAGACATCCATGTCTTTTTACAACACTGAAATCAGTTCAGCGCAATGCATTGCAAGCAACTTAAATGCAAATGATTTAAAATGAGGGGGAAAAATTATTTGATATTCCCGTCTCGAGTCCTGCACATCAGCTAGGATAGCCATTTAGACTTTCAGAAAACAACAGCAAGAAATGCGGCTACCTCCTCCAAAACTACATCAGGAAAGCAACTTACAAAAGCCGAGCACGTGGTCACAAAACCCTCAACCTCCCCCCTCTCTCTTTTAAGATATCAGAGTCCTTGGGAGTCTGCTGCAGAGAAAACGTACCATAATCGCGCGCTATATTCGAGATCCTTTGCCCCCTACAAAGAGAACTCAAAAACTTACTTTTCCGTAGACTGTTTTTTAAAAAACATGGGCATACTTTTCGCCGGAGTATATGGTAAAAACTACAGCTCCCAGAATGCTGCTGTATAAAGAATTTTTAACCCATCAGAGGGAGGGGAAGAGGGGAAGAAGGGATTTCGTGACGGAGAAGGGGTCGGCTCAAAAATAGGGCCCGACGTTGATCGCAACGTAGTTTTCATCTAAGCCAGAAAAGATTTCAATGTAAGGTTTCAAAATAAATCGACAAAATGGGAGCTCATTACTAGATTTGCATGGGGGGGGGTCTTCATTATCATGGCAAGCACTAGGATACACAGGCTACGTCGTCCCAGAGACTAGATTTGCTCTACACGGAGATGGAACTACATTGTATAAGGACAATTTTACATGATTTGGCCTCAGTCCTATCCTAAGTACGCTGATACACAAGGCAAGATTTCCATATACACTGGGGTAGGAACGAGCCCAGTACTCGATCTGTAATTGAGAAGCCCACGCTTCTCCAAGAAACACAAGTTTTACTTTGTAAGTCCATCTTTAGACACAAAAGGATTTGTTTGTGCTGTTGCATCCGGCTACTTTCACATTTCCCAAGTTTACCAGCAGCATAATTTTTTGCCAGTGGTATGTTGTGGATCTTAACTCCCCAGCGGTTCTGCCACCATTGTAACTCATCATCATGAGGAATGCAATCCAAAATAGCTGGAAGCACTGGCAGGAATCCGAGGAAGCTGGTAGGCTTCTCTGGGTCTCCAGGCAAGGAGATATATCTCAGGGCGAGCAGCTTGGAAAGGAAGAAAAGTTTAGTTTTTATGTTTGACCTGGCTTTAAAGCCTAACATCCATCTCCTGTCATTTCTTGCTGCCACCAGGGCTGTCTGATCAGCATGAAGCTATGTGTACAGATGTTGCACAAGCATATCAAAAGGCCAATCACTGTATCAAAAAGCCAAGACTGAAGCAAGGGGAGTGGGGCACTGCCCTTGAGTCCATGGTGATAATTGAAACTAGGCCAGTTATTCCCAACCTTGGGTCCCCAAATGTTCTTGGACTACAACTCCCAGAAATCTTGGCCAGCACAGCTAGTGGTGAAGGCTTCTAGTTTTAGTCCACAAACATCTGGGGACCCAAGGTTGAGAACCACTGAGATAGAGAGTGGAGCATCAACATCAGGACTTGTGAGCCTCCTTGTTGTATGGTGGTCTGTTTCTTTCATAGTGGAATCCAATTCAAGACACTACTATGGTGGTTCTTTTTTACATGAACTGTGTGAGATAGGAATACAGTAGTTTAGAATGGCTCACACATACTTTTATATTTTCTTGCAGGTATTAGTGTTGTTGGTTTTTAAGGCACGAATCCTGTTGTCACTGTGCAATACACACTGTGTATTATGCAAGTGATGCACACACCCTTGTTACCTAGCCCTTGATCATTCAAGACATACCTAGATTGCTGTATTATTTGTACACACAGTTGCACAACAGACAGCTGACAAAATGCTTGTGACTCCCCTTGGAAATGCAATATTATGTAGCAGAACTTTAGCCTGCATGGTTGTTATGGGTTTTTCAGGCTGTTTGGCCGTGTTCTAGGAGAAATCCTGAAAAACCCACCATCACCATTGGATCCCGGTTGTGAAAGCCTTTGAGAACACATTTTGCCTGCATGTTTGGCATTTTACAATACTCAGAAACAGTGCAATTTCTTAATCAATTATTTTATTTATTTATAAACTGGCAATATACAATACATCCGCAGAAAAAGAACCACTTAGTCCCTTTGGATTAGCAATTTGACGTCTAGCACGTCCTACAGAAGGACTCTGCCCATTCACTATGCCGACGAACTATGCGCCTATTTCGTGGTAAGGTTACAATCCGAGGCAGCTTTATTTAAGCGTAGGACAGCCGAACAATTGCATAAAATAAGGTCACACGACTCATCAGCGATGCCAGGTTTTATATAAACCCGAACAACTTTTGTCAATTTGCAAACCAGAATAGGCGTCGGCTGACCTCTTAGCCAGATCGAGCCCCAGAATCGTGTGAACGCAGCCCCGTGTCCGCCCTAGTGGGAGCTTTCTCCGCCTCGGACCGGCAGCTTCGACCACAATATGGCTGCCACACCAAGCAGGGAGGTGCGACGCACGCTTCCAAATATTAAGGCCTTGTCGCTTAGAAGCGCCGGTGGTGCTTTACGTCTGAAGGAGGGCTGGCACACGGGAGAGGGGAGTAACTCCTCCTTGGAACACCTTGAGATGCTTCTACTCCAGGAACCACCCATTTCAGAGGTTAAAACACGGCCCACGAGACGACAGCCTAACAGCTGCGCTACAGACACAGCGCGCGGGGGGTGGGGGTGGGACTGCCCCCGTCGCCCCGCGCTTGCGCTCTATGGTATACCGGTATCGCAGAGCGTCCGCTCGCAAACCGGCTCTATTCCCCCACCCCTCGGCGAACCGTGCAATCAGAGGGGAAAGAGAGCGTAAAGGAAGTGAGGGGGCGGGGCGCCGACGCGTCTTCTTCCGGTGTTGCATTATAGAGCGCAGGCGGATTACTATCTCGGGGAGGAAAAAAAAGAGGGGGGGGGGCAGGCGAGTTCGCTGCTATCGTGCCTCGCTAGGCTGTCATGGCGACTAACATCGAGCAGATTTTTCGGTCTTTTGTCCTTAGCAAGTTCCGGGAGATCCAGGACCAGCAGTTCGGCGGGTAAAGAAGGGGCTGCGGCGGGAAAGCGGGAGGGATCCTGGCGGCGCGGAGTTAACGGGTGAAGCGGATGGAGTGGGGGAGGGGGTTGCGCAGGGAGACCGGAAGGGGTGTCGGAGGGGGGGATGACAGCGGTGTGGGGACGGGCCTGAGGGAACATTGGGGTTATTATACAGGAACGCGGTTGGGTTAAAATAGGGAGAGACGAAGTGTGAAAGAGGCAACTCGAGAGAGGGGCGTAAATGGGGGGGGGGCGAATTCGGCGCAGATGGCCGACGAAGACGTGGCCTACTTGTTAACCCGAGGTTGGCCTTTTCCTGAGGGACTTGTCCGGGACTCCCCGAATTTCGAAGGAGTTGTGGATGAAGGAGTTCTGCTAACGACTCCCGAGGCCTCTGGAGAGGTCGCCAAAGGGGGCTCGCCTGAGACGTTGTGGTTTGGCCAAGGAAAAGGCGCTCTTAAAGCCTTCAAGGAGGGCCACATGCGTTTGTTTCTCTCCCCCCCCCTTTCTTTCGGTAGACTAATAGGCTGCCCTTGTAGCAGCTGTCAGGCTCAAGTGCAGTTCTAAATAAGCATGTTAAACTCATCAGGCAAAATCCAAAGAATCAAAACAATACAAAAACAACAACAAAATGTGGCACCTTAAAGACTAGCCTATAAATTTTAATATACAATGGCTAGTCTTTAAGGTGCCACGTGTTTTTGTCCTTTTTGTTTTGTTTCTTTGGATTTTGCCTGATACACTCGCACAGACTAATATGCTTCTTCTTCTAAAACTACACAATAAACTCAGTGGGACTTACATCGTTGAAAAGGATTGTACCAGTTGTGGGAGTATTTTTTGCTGAATACATGTAGTTCACGTACTTTGGAATTAAGCCTGTTCTTGGAAAGGCTTGTAAGATATAAACATATTATCAACAATAATTTTGTGTGTGGTTTATCCTAGGGTCAGGATGTCTTGAAATACCTGTTTCCATGCTTTAGGTGCTTAGATTTGTGAATTCTAGCAGAATAGACAACAGTGGAAGAAAGATATCCTCTCCCCCACTTCTTTGGAGATTTGGGGAATTCTGGAACATGTTTGGGGGTGGGAGAAGGGGCAAAGGAAACTTTGTGCAAGACATGTTTCACCCTAAATTTTAAACAGTAGTACTGACATGGACAAGCACTCAATGTTTTAATGTGTGTTGGGTTTACAATTGCATTATAAGGAACAGGTAATTTGTCTTCTGAAGCATACTAATTAAGTGAAATGGAAAACTGTCAGAAAGAAGTTTACATATAACGCTTCAAATTCTAGTGCCGAAAATGAGTTACATGATCAGTAAATGAAATAACACAGCAAGTTAAATCATATATATGCCTCTTCTGTTGCGGTGTTTTTTTAATGATATAAAGGGGAATGAATACATTCTGTTTTTTGTAAGCAGCTGTATGCAGCAGACAGGATTAATTTTTTAAAATGTATCTCACAGGAACAAATTTAAAGCCAACCTATTATTTAAACATGGAGAAAAATAACAGAGGGAATTTTTCCCCAGTGAGGATGGAAACGAGAGTCCTCTTGTATTTGGGTTGCCTGCTCTACCACAAAATAAATAAGCAATTATTAGTACAGTATTCATGAAACAATTTTATGAAAGAGGAGGTCAAATAATTATTCTTTGGTGAACCATTCCACAAACTGTTGCATGGAATAGGATCTCTAGCATCCCGTTCTTAATTTGATGCTGAAATTTTGACTGTTCTTTTCACCCATATATTTTGAATAGATGCCACAAGGGAAGTGTAATTAACAAAATTAGTGGTAATGTGGTATTTTTAACATACCTGTACATCTATTATCACCCATGTTACGAAAAAATGTAACAGTCAACATGTACAATATCCATATTGTATAGTCCAAATGCAAATCTACAATCCGCTACAGACATATTTTGCTTATAATCCAAAATATGAGTATTGGGTATCATTAGAAATCTGATTGTGTATTTTAAAGGAGACATTCTAACACAGGTGTGAAACTCAGTTTCATCTTGGGCTGTATCGGCTTTATGGTTGCCCTTAAAAGGGCCTGTTGTATCTGTAAAAGTATATAAATGTATCTACTCTTTATCATATTAAATATAATCCTCATTTGATTATTACTGCACTTTATGACTCTGCTGCTTGGAGTGCTGGGATTAGAAGTCCCACTGGGTGGATTCCCAGTATTCTTGCGGAGCATTATGGATGACCATCTTAGCCCCTGCATATTGTATACTGCACAGTAGCAAGCAATACTCCGAGGGCCACATGAAACAGCCCAGCGGGCTGGATTTGGCCCATGGGCCTTGAGTTTGACACATGTGTCTAACATATACTTTTGTTAAGCCATGATGGAAATAGTTGATCTGACTGTTGTCCTACTTCATTGTTTCTAAAACAATTAGAATTCAAATCAGAAACTTTAATTACCGTACGTTGCCACTTTCAAAGTCATGTTTTTTTTTGGGGGGGGTCTGGTTAGCATATGATAGTGGACAAAATTATAGTTCTAGTGTGAATATATGTTGTATTTTGTTTGAGAGAAATTTGTATAATTATATGTGGAACTGTAGTAATTATGCAGGACTCATGTATTTAATTTTAAATTGGGGAATTGTATTGTATTGATGGACATTAATCTTTGAATTGTTTCTGACCTTGCAATTTTTGCATATTTTTATCGACTAGTGGGAAGGTAGGAAGTCAGCACAATGGTGAAATAAACTCACCTGACCAAGTGAACCCTTCAGATGATACAATTCCATCTATTGGGAATTTTCAGAATGATCCACTGGTGCAGAAAATAGAACAAGTATTATCAGAAGTGTTGGGTACAGAGTCACAATGCAAACCAGGTAAAGAATATTCAAATTTTATGTATTTAAATGTGCAACCACAATTTTAGATTAATATTTTGTATAGAGAAATGGTTAAATCTAATTGCTGGTCCAAACTAGAATAAATCCAATGTATCACTGAGACTTTGGAAAAGCAGTGCTTACTCGTCCATTCAATGGGTTTACTCTAGTTCAGATTATGATTTGGATTTAGCCCTCAGTCTATGTGCCTGTAAATGCTTTTTTTATTTTGTGGGTAGTTTTACAATCATGCTTTTTAAAGTGCTGTGTGGCATCCTGTTGTGACAGGCATGGAGATACCTTCTGTAAAACTTAATGTGGCAATTGCTTACATGTAAGATTACATTAGGACTGTAATTTTAATTAGTAGAAAATCAATAACTCAGTGAAACTTACTTCTGAGTAAACAGCGACTATGGTTAATTCTAAGCATATTAACATGGTTTGTTAAGATTTCATAAAACATGTTATAGATAATTAAATAAAGTTGTCACATGAAAAATTATAGGAAATACCTAATTCATCGATTGTTTCCTCATTAAATTTAGGCTGGCATTCTAAATACACTTTCCTGTTTCATATCCTTTGCTCTTTATCAAAATACATTGCTGGAAAAGTTATTACTTGTTGTGGCTGCTAATTTAGATGCTAGAAAGTTATTTGCTTTGCTTATTTTATAAATGTTATTCAATACATAACTGTGGTCTGCTATTTCTTAGTAATTTTTGAGGTGTATTAACTCCAATCAAGCCCTTCAGATAATTTTTGAATTCAGTTGTTAGTCTTAATTAGAGTAGATGCATTGAATCGGTATGGCATATATAAATGCTGATTTAACAAATACCATTTACTTACCAAGTCAGCTGTAGTTTGGCTTAATTGTATACAGTGGAACCTCTACTTATGAACTTAATCCGTCCCAGAAGATGTTCATTAGTTAGTTGAAATGTTCGCAAGTAGAAGTTCCATTTCCCATAGGAATGCATTGAAAACCGATTAATCCGTTCCGGCTGAAGAAAAAAAATACAAAACAGAAAGAAAGAAAAAAGAAACACAGCAAGCCCCACACTGGGACTGCAAAACAAACAAGCAAGCAAACAAAAAACCCAAAAACAAAACAACATAGAAACATAACCCCCCAAACCCACCCTCCAAAATCCACCCAGAACAACTTTTTAAAAAAAGGAGCACCTTACCCATCCGAAGCCTCCTGCGGTCCCCCACCACCGCGATCGCCGCCATCAGAGACCTCCGGGGGGGTCCCACATCGCCGCCATCGGAGATGCGGTCCCCCACCACCGCGATCGCCGCCATCGGAGAGGTGATCGCCGCCATCAGAGACCTCCGGGGGGGGTCCCCCATCGCCGCCATCGGAGATGTCCCGAGGGTCCCCCGCTGCCACAATTGCCACCATCGGAGACCTCCCAGGGGTCCCCCACTGCCGCGATTGCTTCCCGTCCCGAGGGTCCCCCGCTGCCACAATTGCTTCCCTCGGAGGCCTACCAGGGCTTCCCCACCCCAACACAGGATTTTCTGGGGTAGACTGGCCCTACCAGGAGAAGCCCTGGTCTGAAGGTGGTGATCGCGGCAGCGGGGAACCCCCGGGAGGTCTCTGATGGCAGCAATCACGGTGGTGGGGGACCCCAGGAGGCCTTCGAAGGTGGCGATCGCAGTGGTGGGGGACCCCCGGGAGGCTGAGCCTCCCTTTTCCTAACTGACGGGGCGAAAGCCTCTTCACCACCAATGGTTAGCAAATTTAATTTCCCGCTGTTTTCCCCTGCCTCTTTTCCTTTGGCTCTTGAAGCTCCGTTCGCAAGTAGAAGCAAAATTTTGTGAATGGAGCTGTTCGTAAGTTGGATTGTTCGTAGGTAGGGACGTTCGTAAGTAGAGATTCCACTGTAGTTTTAATAGTGATTTTGATTCTTTAATTTTACACGTCAATTTTGCCTTGATATTTTTCTTCTGCTATTATGATGAACTGGCTTCTTAATAATTTAGTTTCAAATAGTAGTCTATAGAATTTTTGTTGCTGCAAGACAAGTCAGTGAAACAGTGGACAAAATCCAGTACTAAATCCAGTACTTCAGCCATGTAAGACTAATGACATTTTCACCTCATGCAGTGTAAGCTCTATTACTGGATTTTACTAAGCAAAATGTAAAGTATTTTTCAATCTGGACACAATGAGCCTGTTAAATTATTTGTTTTTAATTGATGGTTTGTTTTTGAAAACTTGTAATGTTATGCATAAACTGAAATTTAAAATGTAAGAGAGAACTCTCACTTCAAATGCTAACTCTTTCACTTATTTCAGTTTGTGTTGAGGGAGAATGGTAGAGGAGCAGTGTTTGAGCTCATATAAATTCATGACAGCAACTTCTGCTTTGGTGTTACAATTGAATTGGGCTATCAAATCTCACTTTTTGAGACAAATTGTATGTTCTCTTGGGCTAGTAACTTGTAACTTGTAAACTATCATGCACACTTAATGATCTTCTTACACATTTTAAATAATTATGAGTGTTATTATGTGGCAGATGAACATACAGTTCATATGTGATATGTTTGCAGTTTGTAATTCTTGGTTGCTGAACAGTTTTGACAATGGTGATCACTTCTTTAGAATCCATGTAAAATTGAATAAGACAGAAAATTGTTATTTTTAGGTAGCCAGGTTTATTTGAGTCTTTGCTTTTTTCAGATTTTCTGTAAGATTTCTTGTTTTAATCTAAAGATATTTTGCCATAAATTTCACCCATGCGTGAATGCTGCTTGTTTTGCCACTTTTTTCATGGGTGGTGGAGTCCTCTAAATTCTAGAGTGGAAGATATTATTGGTAAATGGGAAAAAGTAGCAGAGGGGACAGTGCTTGAATACCTGTTTAATTCTTGATGAAAATGGTATATTCTATAGTCCACATAATTTTACAGATAATGATTCCTTAGCTTTTCAAAATTTCACCTTCAAATACATGGAATTTTGTATCATTTGGAGGAGAGATTTATATTTTTGTTTTAGAATTTAACAAATGTTTTTTCATTTTAGATGGTGGAGAGAATATAGTGAGAACTAAGTCTGCTAAAAGAGGCTTATCTGAAGAAGTGCAAGATGAAATTCCAAGGAAGAAATCTAAGAAGGATAAAAAACACAAAGATAAAAAGAAGAAGAAAAAGAGAAAGAAGGAGAAAAAAGATAAAAAATATAAAAAGCAATCTAAAGAGGCAAAACTAAATATCCAGGAAAAGGAATGTGGAGACTTGCAGCATGTTATTAATTCAGAACCAGAAAATTCAGTGGCCGTATTGAGCTCCGAAGAAGATGTGGACATGCAGTTTATGTCTGCTGTGACACAGAGCTCTGCATGGATTCAAGAAAAAAATGCATATGAAAACGTAAACACAGCCATGTCAAATTCAAATGATACAGATTCTGATAGGAACAGATCAGATATGTTGAAAGAAAATGCTGCTTCAGTTAGTATTCAAGAGCACAATAAAGTTGAGCCTGTAAATGAGAGAGAATTGAAAAATGGCCCTTACCAGCCTACCAACACATCAGTGAATTTGCTTACAGAAGATGAGTCTTTAAACATTGATGATGTTGTAGGTGGCAATACTTTTGTGATTAGAAGCGGAACATCTATGGATGTAACTGAAGTCAGTATGGATCAAACTGAAGTTAGTTCAGTATTGAAGGCAACAGAAGAAGTAAACGTTCCTGAGAACAGACCACATTTTCAAGGAGTAGAACAGAGAAATTTGAAAACCAGTCTGGAGTCTGACATGTTGGAGGCCAAGAGCTTGAACTTGGTCACAGAATCTTTAAATCCACAAAGCATGAAACAGTCAGTATCAGCTTCATCAGAAATATATCTTCAACCTTCTGTTGAGGCCTCTGCAGAATCCAAAGATTCAGTGACAACTTTGGGATTTTTGGCTATGGTGGTAGGGAAAGATTTTGAAGCAACTTCAGAATTTTTGAATACAGCAAAGGTAAAAGCTTCTGAAAGAATTCTAAAACATGCTACAGAAATGAAAAATGATGGTATTCCTGATTCTGAAAGACTTGTCACAACACAAGATTTACAAAACATTCAACAACTTGACTCTAGCACAGAGTTGAAAGACTTGCCATCCCCAGAAGCTCAGCATGGAAGATTTGAAAAAGGTTTTGAACCCATCTCAGCAATAAAACCAAAGCTTCTAGAAGAAGAGTTAAAGAGAACTGTAGAATCAGATGCACAAAAATCCAGGGGTGTAGCTAGTAATGCTGAGACAGTACCAGGGATGAGAAAATTAGAAGACACCCAAGTCTCTGAAATCATGGAGTTGAAAGATTCTGAAAAACAACCAAGACATCTGCAAACAATAATGGATGAAAAAGATGTCAGAAGAACACGAGAACTGCAGGTTAGAAACAGGAAAGATTTAATAGCATCTGTCCCAGATATAGCAGTAGAAGCAAAGACTTCAGATACTACTTCAAAATTTGAAGAGACTGAGATGAGATATTTGAAAACAAGATCAGAACATGCAGTACAAACAAAAAATTGGAATACTGTTCCAGAGCCTTTTTCAGTAGTGGCAGCAAGGAATATAGATCCTGCTCCAGAATGTGAAGAATTTGTGCAAGTGAGTTGTGTGGAAGCATCTGTGGAGACTGTAATAGAGGAGAATGTAATAACTGAGGTGGATGTTCCTGAAAGCATTTCACAGTTTGAACATGTTCCAGAACTTAAAGATTTAGAATCCATTCCAGAAACTACAGATATAGCGAAACCACAACATCTGGAGATTTCAAAATGTATAAATGTAAGAGAAGTAGAAAATGAGCCTGTGGTGAATCTGAAGAATTTGAGGAAAGGTTCAGAAACTTCTCTTACCGTGGGAAATTTGGAATGTACTTCAGAATCACAATATGTGAAAGACATCTTACAATCTGCTACAGTTGCACAGGGAAAAGATTTTCAAGCCAGTCTAGAGTTGGAAGGGGAGAAAAGAGAGAAAGATATTGATGCTGCTTCAGATTCGTTGCATATGATATTTGCAAATTATTCAGAACATAGTCTAGAACTTTATACAGAACCTACAGCTCAGTCGGCAAATTTGGAAAGAATTCCAAAGTCACTTGTCATGATGGATGCAGACATTAGGGAAGAACGGCATATTAGGGAATCCAAAGAAGTAAAAAGTGTAGAATCTGAAATAAATGATGGCATGAATGATTTGCAAAAAAATATAGAATTTTTGCATAGAAATGAAAAAAATGTAGGAGCAACGTTGGAGTCTAAAGTAATGCCAAGTGGAAAATACTCTGACACTCTCGAAGCTGTGTCTAAGGAAGGGATAATGGACACTGTTTCCCATTTTGTGGCTGGAATAGAGCAGAGAACCCCTGATACTCATGAGCATGTGGAGAAGAATCAGCATGACGCAGAGGCAACAGATTTGCATGTTCTATCAAGATGTCAGAAAGTGTCTAAAAAAGGGTCCAAAAGCCCAGCAGAAAATGAGTTATTTGCTGGAAGCAAAAGTCTATTGCCCACTTCAGAATCTTTTCAAGAAACAAATATATTAAAATCAAGAATGGTTCCAGAATTAAAGACTGTAGCAGCCATACAAGAGTTAAAGGGAACTGTAGAGTTTGCAACAAGGATGGATATGAGCAGTCCTGAGAAAAAACTGGAGTTCAAGATTTCAAAGTCAAGTAGTCCAAAACATTTTTCAAAGTTCATCAGTACTCTAAAACAAGTTGAATCAGTTGCAGAATCTCATGCAGAACAAAATGTAGAATCTTTGCAAGAAACAAACACAGACATCAAGAAGATAAACTTAGGATCTGCGTATGATTGTGAGATTAAACATATGAGAACAAGTCCAGAATTTTTGTTTTCAGATGAGTTAAATAATCAGCAAGAAATACAGAAATTGGAAGAAAGGACAGAAATAGCAGGAATTACGGCAGCCCCAGAATTTCTGTATGATTCAGCAAATGACCCAATTATAGTTTCAGAATCTAGTATGAGTCACAAGGTAGTAGAATCAGAGTACCATCCAGATTCTCTGCACCTGGAAAACATCAATTCAGAGAACATCCTAAAACCACTCTACTCAATTCAAGTGAAAGATTCCCAAACACTTTTGGAATCTAAGATCACTGATGCAAAAACCTTGGAAACTGATTCAGGAGCTACTTTTCAAGCAGGTGTAGAAATTGCAGATATTCAAGAAGGTGAATTGAAAGTACCATCAGAAGTTATTTCAGAATCTCACAAGAAAAATGAAATGCTTCTTGGATTACATCCTATATCAGTGTTGCAAGAGTCTGATGAAGCATTTAGGAGTAAAGCACCAACACTTACAAATTTGGGTGCACATCCGGAAATTCTGTGTGTGTTTGATACTGAAAATCTGGAAATACCTCCACAGTGTGAAGAATTGGGAATAGTTAAAAAATCAGCAGGAACCCCACCATCTCTATTTGCAGCAGATATGGTAGAAAGAAAATCATCTTCCTTTATCTCTGTGGATGCCAGTGAACAGTTAAATGCTGCTAAAGCTGCTGAAACAGTTGTGACTACTGAAAATTCAAAAGCATCAACTGAATCTGTGGATATGTTGGAAGAAACTTTTGAACCTACTTGCATGACAAATCTGAAAGATTTAGAAGCCAGCCAGAAGTACAAAACACACCCAGAATCTTTGGGCAGAAAGGAGATGAATTCTATTTACACAGGATCTTCAACTAGTGTGAATGGCTCTGAAATACTTAAAAATGAAGGCAGACAGATTTCAGAAAGTGTGCTAAAAGCTGCAGGCAAAGTAGAAGAAAAGTGTTCTGGAATAGATTTAGAACCAGATACAGAATTGGCAGTAAAATATTCTGAATCCATTTCTGAGTCAATAACAGTCTCAGAGAAAGAGGATGATGACATGTCTATGACTGTGTTCATGGTAGACGTTACAGATTTGGAAGCAAGCTCCAGCTGTTTAGATACAAGACAGACAAGCAGTTTAGAAACAACTATATGGATTGAAACAACTTCCACACCTGTATGTGTATTACAGTCCAGGAATTCAGATGGTGTGGTAGACTCTGTACCTGTCATAGAAACAAAAGATTTAGGACAGGCAGTGAACTCTGAAAAGGAATTGGGAGTAAAAGATGCAGTAACCACTGCTGTGCAGTTAAACACACTAGATTTAGAGTCTTTAAAATCTGTCTCTGCGGCAGAAGTAACCAGTGGTGCAGGAATTCTAGACCTAAAAACTAGTCCAACATGTTTAGATGCATCAGATTTGAAATGTTCTGGGACAGTTGCAAAGACAAAAGCGTTAGAAGTAATTGACTCTGAGATGCATCTGAAACCAGAAAATACTTCAGAAGTAAAATTTCTTGAAACTACTTTGGAAACTGAGTGTGATGTAGAGAGACATCAGTACATAACTGCACCAATATCTGAAAACCTGATAGAGAAAACTTCAAAACCAGTTTCAGAGGTAGTATGTCTAAGTAATATGGAAGATCTAAAAAGTACTTCAGAACCTAAATATATGGAAACAATACCCCGTTCAGAAAAGCAATCACAATTACATCTGCACTTTGAGGGAAAATGCTCAGAAATCACTGTGGAACATGCACACATCTCAGATTTAAGGAATACCAGTGCCAATATGGATACAGTGTCTCTTAAAGGAGGAAAAAGTCCAAGACCTACTTCTGAAATAGTATCTCTTGTAGATGTCAAAAGTTCAAAAGCAAATTCAGAAGTTATAGTAGAGTTGAATGATAAAGAATTGTTTTTAAAAACTGGAAATGCTCTGCAATTTGTGCATTCAGTAGAATCAAAAGATATTGATGCAGCTAATAAGTGTAAGTCTTTGCAGGAGGTAAGAGATCTCCAGGTTGCATCAGCATCATTAAGTGAAGAAGTACAAATGGATTTTGAAGGAAGAGTAAAAACTCTGTTAGCTTTGGCGAGTCAGGAATTAGAACAAAACTCAACTTCTGGACTTTTGTTAGAAGAAAAGACATCTAAAGTGACTGTGGAATCTAGCCATGCTGTGCATACAAATGACACTGAACCTGTTCCTGAATGTGTAAATGCAAGAAGTATAGACATTTCAGAACAACATTCAAAATGCATGTCTGTAACAGAGGTGAAAGATCTGGAAAAAACTACAGAACATGTATTAGCAGAAGCCGAGATTTCGGAAGAGCCTTTGAAATCAGCAAAAGAAAAAGACTTGGGTGGAATTCCACATGTTTCTTTGGATGAGCAAAGTTTAAAAACAGCTGTAAAGCCTGTATGTACAACATCAGATAACCTGGAAAAAACCCAACAGGTACCTTCAATGTTGAAAGATTCAGAAATAGCTTTAGAATGTGTGCACAGGACAGAGAAGGATTTGAAAACAAGTGAAAAAGTATTCTTAGAAGCAAAAGACTCAGAACCAACTGTTGAATCTGTGCAGAAGGAAAAGAGTAAGGACTTGGAAGTGACTGTAGAGGACTCGTTGACGGATCAGGATTCAGAAAGTGCTCCAAAATCTTTGGACCTAGTGAAGGAAGATGAAGAAAGTACTTTGAAAGACAAGAAAAGTGAGAAAAGCACCAAAAGTAAAGATAAAAGTAAGAGTGGTAAAAAAGCAAAGAAAAGTAGATCAAAATCCTTGTCCAAGTCAAAAAAACGTAAAAAAAAGTCCAGATCACGGTCTGTCTCTAGACAAGTATCAACAAGAAGAGCACGCTCTAGAAGTAAAAATGATTCTGATTCCAAGAAAAAGCATTCTACCTCTCGTCATAAGTCTAGATCAAAATCTGCTGACAGAAAAGAAGAAAATGAATCTTCAGTAAGATCTAGACGAAGACGTTCACGGAGTCCTGATCATCCTAAATCCAGATCCAAGTCTGTAGACAGGAGAGAAACTTCTGTAAGGTCAAGGCGGAGGCGGTCCAGATCATCTGATCATCGGAAGTCTAGATCCAGATCTGTTGACAGGAAAGAATCAGTTAGGAGAAGGAGAAGGTTATCACAGTCCTCTGATAATCACAGATCTAGATCCAGATCAGTTGACAGGAGAGAGACTTTGGTAAGAACAAGGCGGAGACGTTCCAGATCTTCTGACCATCGCAAATCCAGATCACAATCAGTTGACAAAAAAGAAACATCAGTGAGGAGAAGGCGAAGGCGATCTCTGTCCTCTGATCATTGTAAATCTAGATCAAGATCTCTTGACAGAAGAGAATCCTCAATTAGAACACGGAGAAGACGGTCCAGATCCTCTGATCATCATAAATCTAGATCCAGATCAGCTGATGACAGAAGAGAATCTTCAGTGAGGACAAGGAGAAGGCGATCCAGGTCCCCTGAAATTCACAAGTCTAGGTCCAGATCTTGTGAAAGAAGGGAGAGTGCCCTGAGGACAAGGCGAAGGAGGTCCAGATCCTCTGATAATCGCAGATCAAAGTCTAAATCTGTGGACAAAAGAGAGACCTCAGTGAGGACAAGGCGAAGGCGATCCAGATCCTCTGATAATCGCAGATCTAAGTCTAAATCTGTGGACAAAAGGGAGACTTCAGTTAGGACAAGGCGCAGGCGGTCGAGATCCTCCGATAATCACAGATCAAGGTCCAAATCTCTTGACAGAAGAGAAACTTCAATAAGGCCAAGGCGAAGACTATCTTTGTCCTCTGATCGCAAATCTAGATCCAAATCTGTTGATAAAAGAGAGACTCCAGTCAGGACAAAAAGGAGGCGTTCCAGGTCTTCTGATAATCGCAAATCTAGGTCCAAATCTATTGAGAACACAGAAAGTTCAGCAAGGTCAAAAAGAAGACGATCCAAATCCCCTGATCATAAATCTGGAAGAAAATCAGTTGAAAAAGGAGAGCCTCCTGTGAAGTCTAGACGTAGAAGATCTAAGTCATCAGATTGTCATGTATCTAGATCAAAATCCAGATCCAAATCCTCTGAAAGAAAAAAAGACAAAGTTTCTTCAGATGGGTCACGAGGGAAACACTCCAGATACAGATCAAAGTCCAAATCTGTTGAAAACACTGAGAAAACTGAATCTGTGGAAGCAACTGTGCATAATCGCTCAAGATCTCCTGAGCAACATAAATCCAAATCTAGATCTAGATCCAAATCCATAGATAAAACAGGTGAAAGAGAGAGTTCACGAAGATCGAGGAGCAAAAGCTCTAAGTCCCCAGAAACCAGATCTCATAGACGTAGAACAGTATCACGATCTAGGAGGAATCGCTCTCGATCATTGACACGGAAGAGAGTCTCAAGATCAAAATCTGATCATCGATCCCGAACACGATCCCTGACTCGCTCACCATCACGTTCAAGACGTTGGAAGAGAACTAGATCAAGGTCAGTGTCAAGACAGCGATCTTTATCAAGAGAAAGACGTAGGAGATCTCGGAGAAATCGATCAAGATCTGTTGACAGGAGGAGGAGGAGATCTGATTCAAGAGACAGTTACAGAATATCTCTTAGATTACGTTCCCGAAGCCGAACACCTGCCCGTTTAAGATGCTCTAGGTCCATTGGGAGAAGACGAAGCCCCAGTAAATCACCTGATCATCGAAGATCCAGATCTTCAAGCAGATCACCTAAACGTCTAACTGACTTGGGTAAGTAGTCTCCATTTTGTGTATGTGCAAAGCAGTGTTTTTTGAAGGTTTATGTAGATTGCTTTTAAGTACTGTTAATGCCACCATATTGTATTTCTCAGTGCAGCATTCCTGAAGATTGATACCTTTGGCTGAAATCCAGTAGTAAGTCACAACTAGAGTAGGCCCATTGAAGTCATGGAGATTTGGTGAGTCAATTCGTCAGGTTCCATTGATTTAATGGACCTACCCTAGTTTCAATTTAAATACTAGATTTCAGCCTATAATTGCTAGGGAAAAAAATCAAGTAGTGGTGTATTTGCTGTCTTTGAGAAAAGTATCCTGAACTGTACATATTAATTGTAGTTTTCTCACACTCGCTAGAGAGCTGAAAGCTTTTGAAAAGATGTTCTGTAATTGCAGTTGAGATCATCAGGGCCAGCCCAGGAGAGTATCAAAAAGATGACATACTTTGAGTGATGCATAGTAATGTCAGTTAGTAGACTAGACACAGTTAAATGCTTCTTTTACAGAAGTTGACATTTACAATGTTGCCAGTATGTTGAATTTTAATTCGGGTAAGTAGAGATGGGGGATTTGTCTTCGTAGACGAAAACGAATCGTGTCGGCATAGGTGGCTGACCAGATTTATACCTGTCCCCAGAACCTGCTGGTCCACTTCCCACATGGTGCATGTGGCCAGCGTCATCAGCATACCAGTTGTGGCAGTAGCCCAGCTGCTGCAACCCCATCTCCCTGCTCAGACGGCCACTCAGTAGCTGAGCTGTGAGACTCGTCATCCCACCTCCTTGCTGGAGTGCTTGACCAAGCTGGGAGGCAGGGCTGTGGCAACTGGGCTACTTCCATGATTGACATGCTGACAACAATGCTGGCTGCGTGCACCACTCAGTAAGTGGACTGGCGGGTTCTAGGGGCAGGTGTAAATCAGGCCAACCACCTGTGCCGGCAGGATTTGTCTGAATCTATGAAGATGAATCCCCATCTCTGTGGAGAAGCTCTTGACAAATTTTGCCTTTAAAAGCAGAAATAGGTTAATTTGCTATACTGTTGTAGTTTGTAATGCTTTCCCTTGGGGATTAAAAATATGCTTTCATGTAGTCCATAGTTCCATGCTACCTAATGTGAATTCATCTGTTTTGAAACAATGTATCAGCAGCTAAAATGTACCATCACCGTTCCCAAATCTGGCTTTCCCCCCAGATTATATCATTTATTGTACTTGGCTGTATGACATCTGAATGGTAGAAATAATTTGTACTGATTTAAATTATTTTTATTCTGTTTTTCTGCTAAAGGAAATCCTCTGTCTTATGATTTAATGTTTTAAAAAACACTAAAATGCTAGATTAAGAACAATAAAGAGAGTTGAGGCAACAAAAAATGTTGGAGTAGAACTAAGAATGTGCTAGGCAAAATGCCCACTGGGAAAGAAATTGAAAGCTTTGGAGAGAGGTGGATATGGGTCTTCCTTGGCAGGGAGTTCAGAGTTATAGTTCTGTTGCAATTGTTTGCAGTTCAGGTTTGGATTAGGATTTGGAAGAGAACTTCCTCAAAATATCTCAAGGGGCAACTAAACATATATGGAGAAAGGTAGGCCATTAAGTATCTTTCTTTCTAATTTTCTTTGCCTTTAAATGTCAACACCTGGCATTTTGGATTAGACCAGGGCTCTCCAAACTTTTCAGAGTGAGGGCCACAACATATATGTTGAGAGATTTTTGAGAGCAGAAGGAAGATGTGTGTACATGCATATGCACTCCCACCTGCTCGTTGCGCCAGATAAAAAGGCAGGCCAAGTCGGATGTGGACCATGGGCCATAGATTGGAAACCCCTGGATTAGATCAAGAATAGGTTAGATGCCATTGTAGCTGCTGTAATAATTGAGCCACAGATATGTGATGAAAAGTTCTATTTAACTTCCTGACTATAGTAATCTGAACCAGCTAAAGTTAACATTCCTCATTATATATTAACACTTGATTAGTACATTTCTCTTCTGATTACATATTATAAAAAGCCCTAATTCAGCCCTATAGAATATTGTATAGAAAAATGTAGATGACAGGCATCTTTTTATGAATTTTTGAACTGGTCAGCAGAACAAACTGGTATACGCTGGGACTGTCTGGATTTGCTTCAGAGGCAAGAAGTACTTTTGGAATATTGTTAGTGTTTTTTGTTCAGGGAAATACAGTGGTGCCTTGCAAGACGACTGCCTCACGGGACGATTAATCTGCAAGACGATGGGTTTTTGTGATCACTGTTGAGATTCGCAAGACAATGTTTGGGTTTATGCTTTGCAAGACTTTTTTTTAAGACTGATGCTTCGCAAGATGGTTCCCCCCCATTGGAATGCATTAAATAGATTTCAGTGCATTCCAATGGAGAACTGCGTTTCGCAAGATGATGTTTTCTATGGACGATTTTCGCAAGATGACAATTCCCCCCCCCATTGGAACGCATTAAATAGATTTCAATGCATTCCAATGGGGAACCGCGTTTCGCAAGATGATGTTTTCACAAGACAGTGATTTTCGCGGAAGAAATTAACATCGTCTTGCGAGGCACCACTGTACGTATTGAATTCTAAAAACAACATTAAACACAAATTAGAATTCTGTAGCATTGTGCCTGAGAATTGATATAAAGTATTACTAATGTCTTAATATTTTTGTAGACAAGGCACAGCTACTTGAAATAGCCAAAGCGAATGCAGCTGCCATGTGTGCGAAGGCTGGTGTTCCTCTACCACCAAGCCTAATGCCTGTTATAACTCCAGAAAAGAAGGAAGAGAAGGTTACACAAAAGTCAGCAAAAGAGACTATATTAGAACTCACAGAGGTAAGAAGAAAATAAAATTCGCACATGACAATGAAGCAAATATTACTATTTCAAAAAATTACAATAATTGGTGTGTGTGTGTGTGTGGATGTGTGTGCAGAATTTGTCATTTTGAGTGTATGCAAATTATTAGCATAATCGAAGGGTTTCTTTTAATCTTTTAATTTTATGCTTCTATTTCCCATAGTAGTAATTGAACACTGTGATATATTTTTATCTGCCCATTGCTTTGCATCATGTGTCAGTGTTTTTTTTTAAGAAATGCAAGAAGATTGCACAAAGCCAAGAAGATGATGTGATTGTGAATAAACCTCATGTGTCTGATGAAGAGGAGGAAGAGCATCCTTTTATTAATCATCCCTTTAAACTCAACGAGCCCAAACCTATTTTTTTCAACTTAACTGTGAGTAATGTACAATTGCAAATTATATGTTAGTTTTCTGGGTTGTTTTATACATTCTTTTACAGAAAATAAATGTGGCCACTGGGAAATGATACTGTTAATGACTGAAAAAAAGATTATGATGAAAACTTAGGAATGCAGAATTTGGAACCACTGAGATTGAAAGGAGTTTTGTAAGTTTGCTTCTTAATAGATTTTACACACTATCTTAAAATCCAGATAATGTGTCTTCTGGAAAGATGATGCATATAATTGTGAAGTAATCAGGTAGAACGTTTTATAAGAAATTATTAAATATCCTCCTAGTTCCATTCTTCCTGACTGAAATGTGGATTTCTACTATCTCAGATCTTAGTTTATATTCCTATCAGTATGTGTCACATTGTAAAGAAAATAATATGTGGAAACAGATTGAAAACCCACGTGCACAAGCCAGCCACACTCCAGTATGCTTTATGCAAAACAACTACTGCTTTTCAATTCAGAAATTAGTAGCCAGAACGTACCATCTAAATAACCATGTAATTTAAATTCCATGGTAATGTGACTACAGCTGACCCTGCAAGAAAATGAGTTTGTAAAGATTCAGAAGAATCATAGAAAGCCAAGAAGTAGGAGCCCAGTAGTTGCCCACCTGTGATTTCTTTCTTCATAATGAAGATAGGTGTGTTCCCCTTCATCATAGCAGACTTTAGGCTATGCTTGTCTAGCTGGATAGCTCAATGTGTTGGACATCTGGTTACAGAGCTAGAAGGTTAGGAGTTTGCGTCACCCCAGAGAAGAAGCAGCTTGTGTAGTCTTGGTCCCAGAATGTCCCCAGAAGAATGGAATGGTAGACTAGTTATGCTTAGAAAATTCTGAAAAGGGTTGTCATAACTTGGAACTTATTTGACAGTACACAGTTATTATAGAGAATGATCAGAAGCATTAAACCTTCAGAATGCTACTTACACTGGTTATACTTTTCCAAAACTTGTTTTGGTACCATAATATAAAACATCCACTCAAGTAATTCTATAGAATTATCAGGAATATCAAATTATAAAACTGTTTAGTTGGATTAGATTTCTTTCAGTTCATTACATGTTTTAGCATGTGCTGGGAATGCACACAGATCATACGTGTACATGATTGCTCATAAAACTAATACTCTTTTTTTCTCCTCCATTAAGACTCCAACTATAAAGCCAGCAGCTCCAAAAAATCAGGTTACTTTGACAAAGGAGTTTCCTGTCTCTTCTGGATCTCAACACAGGAAAAAAGAAGCCGATAGTGCATATGGGGAATGGGTTCCTGTTGAGAAGAACAAGGATGAGAAGAAAGACGATGTATTCCCCAACCCAGCCAGTCTGGAGGTAAAATGCAGAAAGATCATGTAGATATTCAGTTGAAAGGTAGCAGGGATTTTGACCCCAAATCTTTGAAAGTCAATCTGTAGGATTTATGTTGCAGAGGCTTGGCTGTAGAGACTTTCTCAGGATTGGTGTTAAATATAGGGGATTCGGACTTAGGTACAACACAGTTATGCTTCACTATGTTTTGAAACCTTTCTCTTTTCAGAAGTGGCTTGCTCAATAATGGCCGCAGCTGCTGGGAGGGGGTCATCAAAAGGATTTCCACATGAGTAAAAGTTGTCTCCTGAACTGAGTCCTACTTTCATCAATTGAAAGTTGATTTAGTACCTAACCAAATTAAGTTCAAAATAGCTTGAAGTGGTACTTTTCCAGATTATGGGTTTTTAAATGTTTTTTTAATGTCTTTATTGCCAGAAATTCTGGTGCTGGAGTATATTGTTGGTTTTATCTTTAAAAATCCTATGCCTGTTTGATTCTGGGATTGTATCAGTATAAAATGTTTAGAACAATAAAAGTAGCCTGTTGGTCAGGTGGTGAGCTTGCTGCATAATTGAGCTGATTGTTAGTTGATTATTTAAATGATGCTGTTTTCAGTTTGTGTGAATGTTGAACTGTACCATTACAGAAAGTATTATTTCTTTGTGCAGACTTTAATGACTAAAATGTTTAGTACTTGCAAAATATAATTAAGTCAAATAGGTGTGTGCAGGGGCATGCTTAGGGTACTAGGGGTCTTTTAGGTATTAACAAACTACTATTGCCATTATTGTTCAGGTTGAGTAAAACCGGTGGCAATTGGAATCTAACAATACAGTATTTGGGGGACTACAGGTTCTCTAGTCTTATTGTATTTTGTAACAGTTCTGGGATTGGTTATCTTTTGTGATGAACCCATACAAACACAGTGTACCCGCAATGGAATCCCTGTAAGGTTTCTAGGAAGCATACCTTTTCTTTTGTACTCTATATCTCTGTGATGAGAGTTAAGTGGAGCGCGCTTAACGGGCGCTCCACTTAACAACAAAATGGCTTAGCGATGACTTTTTCGGAGCGTTTTTGCGCTTCGTTTAGCGATGGTCCCTATGGGCGATTTTTGCTTAGCGATGGTTGGGACCATGCTTCACATAGCGATTAAATTTTGGGTCCCCTGTTTCGCTTAACAATGGTTTAAACAGCCTCATGTTTGCTGTTTTTTAAGTTAAAGTTTACTGTTTAAAATGTTTGAAATCATAAAGTGCACTTAATAAACCCTTTGTTAACCAAATTTGACTTTATTCTGATTCTTTTTTAATTTGTTGTTGTATATTCCCCCCCATTGAGATGCACTGAATAGGTTTCAATGCATTTCAATTGGGGAACCGCGTTTCGCTTAGCGATGTTTCCTATGACGATTTTCGCTTAAGGACGGCAATTCGTTCCTATTGGAATGGATTATCCGGTTTTCAATGCATTTCAGTGGGAAACCGCGTTTCGTTTAGCGATGAAATCACTTAGCAGCAATTTTTTTCAGAATGAATTAACATTGCTAAGAGAGGTGCCACTGTATTGAATTCCTATGGTCAGGGTTCACTATATTGGAGGCTGCCAATGGCGAATTCTTCCTAGACCCAATGTATGCTGCACCATTCCTTCCCACTGAAACTAGAAGTAGCTGGAAATCTGTTTAGAGCTGTAGGAGAAAAATATTTTTCACTTCTTTAGAGCCAGATACATTGAGAATGTGTGTTTAGTTTAAAAGAACATTTCACTGGTTGAAAAGACAAGTGGAATTATCTTGTGTTTTAATATGTTTGCCTCCAGGGATGATAGCAACTGTTCACTAACAAGAGAGAAAAATAAAGGAGTGCACACTTAAGAAAATAATTCTGATTTTCACTATCTCTGTTCCATCACCATGTCCCCCAGTGAATCAAAAATGCTTTTTGGTACATAAATTCAATCCGTTTCTTAGTGATATATTTAAGTATACCCCTGAGTGAATGATGCTGCCAGAAAAATAATCACTTGTGGCATTGGTGTCTTCTGGTTCTCTTGCTTCATTACTGCAAAGTGTGTTAAATATTGGAAAGTGGCTTTATATACAGTGGTGCCTTGACTTATGACCACAGTCTGTTCCAGAAGATGGACGTAACTCAAAATGGTCGTAAGTCGAAGCACCATTTCCAACAGGAATTGCATTGAAATGCAATTAATCTGTTCTGGCCGAAGGGGGAAAAATCACAAAAAAAATCACTGCGAGACTCATTGGAAACGTGATTAATCCCTTCCAGCCGAACTGGGGGGGCAGGGGGGAAGAAAAGCAATCAAGCGTGCAAGACCCATTAGAAATGCACAGAAAATACATGGAGCAGATCGGAAATGCACAGAGAACAAAGGGGGCAGGTCGGAAATGCAAAGAAAACAAAGGAAAAGTTAAGGGAAGCATGCAGGGCCCATTGGAAATAGGGAACCCCCCCCAAAAGCAACAAAAGCCCCCAAGACACGTTGAAAACGGGGAAAAAAGCCTAACAACAAACAACCCCCCAAGCCCCATTAGAAATTGGGGGAAAAACCCAAAAAGCAACCAAACCCGCAAAGACCCATAGGAAATGGGGGGGAAAACAGACCAACAAACTCCCCAAGACCCATTGGAAATGGGAAAAATACTCCAAAAAGCAGCAAAACTCCCCAAGACCCATTGGAAATGGGGGGGGGGAACCCAAACAAACAAACAAACCCTCCAAGACCCATCACAGCACAGAAACATAAACCCCCCAGCTCAAAACCATGCTGCAGAAACACCCAGAACGGTTTTTAAAAAGCAGAAAACAGCACCTTACCTTACCAGGCAGCCCAAAGCTTCCCTGCAAACACACACACACACTCTCATTCAGAAGCAGAAGGAGGCAGTCCCAAGCCTCCTCCATCTGCACATTCTCTAACTGCTGGGTCGAAAGAGCTACAAAGAAGCAGCCTTGTCGCTACCTACAGTTAGAAATTTGAATTTCCCACCATTTTCCTTTAAGTGGAAACTCTGGTCACAAGTAGAAGCAAAATTTTGCAGCCGGAGCTGGTTGTAACTTGAAATGGTTGTAAGTAGGGACGTTCATAAGTCGAGGCACCACTGTGTAGATAAAATATTCTTTCCTAAGATATGCAGTGGCTTAGCATACAGATTTTCAACACTGGTTATGTGTACATTATTTTCCAGCCTGTGGACATCTCATCAGCGCTGAATGAGCGGACAATAGCTCAGAAGAGACTTACAGAAAATACATTTGATCTGGAAGCAATGTGCTTGTTAAATCGTGCACAGGAACGGGCAAGTAACAGTTTCTTTTCAGTCTTCTTAATGTGTCTTGAAATCCATATGAAAGCTGAAGCACAGTTATCGTATTTTTCTGTGTATAAAATGACACTTTTTCCTTAAATAATTTGAGAAAAAATTGAGGGTCATTTTATACACGGAAGGCAGCTCTTTACTGCAGCCTTTTGCGAAGGCACAGGGCTTAGCAAAAAGGAAGGGGAGTCGTTGCTCCCTTCCTTTTTGCTAAGCACCCTGCCTTCTCAAAAGGCAAGGAAAAGGCACGGGGCTTAGCAGAAACGGAGCCCTTTTATCCCTGTTTTTTCTAATTTGGGGCTAGAAAGGGGGGATGTCATCTTATACACTGGGTCATCTTATAAACAGAAAAATACGGTATTTCTGAAATTTTTATGTTACATATATTTCAAATAGTTGGGGAAAGAAGATGGTTGGAGATAATTAGTTTTCATAATGAAACTAGATTTTTTAAAAAATAAGAATGCCACAATGACATTTTTGAAAGTAAGCTTGAATAAACAGCTTTTCTGGCTTAAAATAGCTTATGAAGAAATTTGTGTCTATTTTTAAGAAACAGTAAAACTTCATCCATCTTTGGAAAATGTGTTTTTAGAGATCTAAGGATTTGGGTGGTCATTTTGTTGTGAAGAGATAATAGTCCTCTTACCCTCTTCCCAAATTAAATGATGTTAATAGTGGAGATAGAGGTAGCTAATGAGAACTCTCTTAGAATGTGTAGGTAAAAGATTTTGAAATATATGCTTTGGTCTTAAATGGACATAGTGTCTGATATTAACAAGGATGTGATTTTATATGCTTTCCTAAAATGTGAGGACTTACTAACTCAGCATACTGTTGTTCTCATTTATGATTGCAGATTGATGCCTGGGCTGAGCTGAATTCCATACCAGGCCATTTTACTGGAAGTACTGGAGCGCAAGTCTTATCTTCAGAACAGTTGTCCAACAGCGGGCCCCAAGCATGGGTCAAAAAGGTAGATGATATTCAGACAGATGAATCCAAATGTCCTGCATTAAATTCTTTTGAAATCTCTGGAAGAAGTGATAGTGACACTCTTAGGACACCAGTAGCCTCCTAAAATTCATTCAGAAAATAAACTGAGTTAATTTATCTTTATATTTTGTCAAGATGTGTTTGCACTCTTGCTTTGGAATCTATATTTGCTGTGCCTGATTAGCTCTGTTGTCTATATTGGTTTGGTAGGTTAATTGCAGAAGATTGGAGAATGATCAATGCTCACTTGTTTGAAAAGAGTTGTTTTAAATTGCTCCCACAATTACAGTACTGTTATCTTGTATTAAAGTAGTCCTGAAATATGGGTACAGTTGAGTATAGCAGCTCTGTTACTAAACAAGCCAGAATGTAGGGTGATCCCTGCTGTCAGTTATGGGAGTTCAGTCAAATGTTGACAGGGCTGTAAAAATCTACTTGCCAGTTTCTGATAAAACTTAAGACATGAGAAACAAGATGACTCTATCTCTGTAGTTCTGCATTGTTTGCCTTTTAACACCTTTTCACAGTAAAAATGGGCTGGGACTACCTGAAATCCTCATCCTGTCTGCTCTAGTAGCACATCTGAAAGGACTGAATTTCTCCTGCTTAAGCTCTTAAGAGGGGAGGCTTTATTCTAGAATTTCCTGAATTGTGGGCTAGCATAACGGGAAAGTATGTTTTTCTCATTAGTCATAATGGAAGAGAATAATTGGCTTGTTGGATGAAGGATAATTTTAAATGAGAGAGTCTGATTGACCTGAGTGTCTTATGTAAGTGGGGTGAGGAATGGTTAGCTCCTCGGCAGGAGCCAGCAACGCGAGTACCTGTCAAGCAGGATTATATAAGATGATGAGGTGGAGGTAGACAACAGTCAACTATGTGTCAGGTATGACTTGATCAGTTAAGGGCAGACACAAAAACCAAAGTGAACAGTGTTTGGATGCTTTGGTTATGGCTGAGAATGAAACTCAAGCCAAGCCCTGATGTGTTTTCAGAACTTGTGGTACCTTGGGTGACTTGGGAGGAAACCTAGAGGTGCGCCAGAATTGTCACAATGCAGTCAGATTGGAGGGTCGAATATAGTGAAAGCTGTACAGAGTGAGATTGTATATATTGCAAGTATATTTTTACAGCCTTGAGCAATGATTGTTCATCTCAGATTTGCCAGTCAGAATTAGTTTTCCCACCTTAAAATAGTTTTTCTATTATGCAACACTGTCTTGGACCTAATTGATTTGAAAAGTGGCTTGTGATTGAGTTATTGTAAGCACCTAGATACAGTAACCAGAGAGTTTTTAAACTGCTTTGTTGATAAAATGTATTATATACTTTTATACTTTTGTAATTAAATCATATAGCAAATCCTGTAAATATATTACTATCTGTAAATACTACCTACTGCGTTTTCTTTGTGGAAATAAAAAGTGGGACCAGTGGAAACCATTGGGAGTTCTGGACTGACAGCAGCCATTTTAACAAGGTTTTGCTGAAGTTTACATAAGCTATGTTTGTCTTTCATCACCCATATACAGTTCACAAAAGAGACCATAGTTACTATAATTTAATTGGCAGGATCTGTAAGATGTCTGCCAATTTAAAACAATGGTTTGTGAATCATGACATCCTAAGAAGAGTTTAAAATGACTCCTTGAAGCAAGAAGCTTGTGATTTGTATAGGTCAGGGATGTTCTAACAATTTTAATCGCAGTCACTTGATTTGTCTTCCACAGCTGCTTCAGATTAGAGTAGACTGGCTGTGTACTGATACAGTGGCCATTATTCAGAGATAGACCACTGAGATCACCTTGATATATTTAGTGCAAGGTGTATATGATGGTAGAAAGCAATAATATTGTTGAAGATTCTCAAAACACAATGAATTGCCTCTTGCTTTTTGTAAGCCAGTATTCTAATCAGGTCTGTAGAAGTCTAATGATCTTCTGCAGTTTAAAGCCCCTTCATAAAACCACAAACGTGTCAGTGGATCTCCTGTACTGTTCTTAATTTTCTAAGCTATGGATGCATCTTGGCTCTGTATTCATCAGCACCCTTGATTTGAGGAGGATGGAGGGGAATTGGAGCATAATATTATTAAGATTAGGTAGAATTTTGCTTAGGAACTTTTTTCATAATGACTGTTGCATGTGAGCATAGGTGGATGTGGCAAGACACTTTCATTTTCATTTCCATCCAGTGTGTTTTCTCCAGTTTGTATCCAGTAGTCTGTACCATTTTAGATACCAAAGAATTGATGGGTAGGAAAAGAGTCTGCCTATGGGGCTGGACTGTTACATCCTTTGGCCGTCATTGGCATAATCTGTTTTCATATGCTTTCCCAAGTTCACAGTGCTTTTGCATATTGTTCATGTGAGCTTAACAAAAGATAACTATAGGGGCCCTTTCCATGTAAAGTTTTCCCCCTCTGTTACTAGAAGAACATAGGTAACTTGAAAGTAGACATGTATTACCAGAAGATATGTACTTCTTTCCCAATCAACACTGTCTGAGAGAGGCAAAAAAGATGGCTGTGGGACAGAAAACTTAATAGGTCATGTTGTGTTTTACAGCTTAGAATGCCTGAATGAAAAGGCTTCTGTGCAGTAACTTATAGTTTAATTGATTTATAGTTTAATTGATTTAGTGTATGCCACTAGGTTTTCTTCCTCGGGAAGAAATCCCATTGAACTTAGTAGAATTGCCTTCCTGATAAATCATATACGGTAATTTGGCTGTTAATTTATTTGCAGATGAAACCACAAGAAAATCAAATACATTCACCATTATTCAAAATAATAAAAATTCTCTGTTCATTGTGGGACAGAATTTGGGGTGCCTCTGAAATTTACAGATATTTAACTGCTTAGGGGCTGGGTAAATTAATTATGGAATGTAAGAGTCAGATTGGTAATTTTGTTTAAGAAATGAAGTATTACATTGCCATTATAAAACATTTTGACTAGTTGAGATAGAGCATAATAAAATTCACTTTAAAATTAACTAAAAAGACATGCTTGTTAATATGCTTCATATTATAAAATACAGTTTTAAAAAACAGTGGTAGCTTATGTTTGGCTTTGGTTTTTTTTTTTCCTAATTTGAGTTTTAGTAAAACAAATTACCGTAAGTTTTTGGACATTAAGTTGTTGAACACAAGACATAACAGGTCAAGTCTAAAATGATTTCTTTGTATTATCATAAATGATGTAATCAGTTCACTGATGGAAAAAATATTAAAATCGTCACAGTATGTATGCAACACATTTTTTCTTCATTTTAAGCTTATTTTCTTAATGGTTCTAATAAGTGAAGAATTACCAGAAGCTTTTTGGAAGGAAGCATGTAAAATGTTTAAATGTGGATTCAGAAATGGGAAAGAGAAACTCTATGTGGCCATTGTGGTAGGTCTGTTTCTTAAATAATAGCTCATTGTTCCATATGGCTGCTGGAGCTACTTCCTAGCAAAGGTATTCAGGTCCCAGCAACTTTAGTTGTGTGTTTCGGCTATATAATACATAGATTTTTCCAATAGTGCCGTTTATATTTGATTGTCAGACTTAATTTTCCAACACTTAGACATATTTTTTCTTTGTGTGTTCCTTGTATAGTAGCATATTTGCAGATAAGGTCATAATGCATTATTGATAAAAAAGAAAGAGAGAGGGCTTGGGTGCTTTATCAGCAGGCAGTTAATATTACTTTGTTTACATCTTGCCTATCAAGATAAAAGAAATAAAATATTTTATGAGGAAAACCATTTTCTAGATTAGGTTTAGAGCAGGGGAGAGTTGTCCAACATTTATGGAAGGGAAAGAGTATTCGTTCAACAGATCCAGCATGATCCCTTGGTAGATGAATAGGTACTTAAGGGTATGCGTTTCCTGGCCATTCTGAATGCTGAACTTTACTGAAGCTTCCCTTGTCCTAGTACTGTGTCCCCCTTTAGGACCTAGATTTCTTCTGGAGTGCCTGACTGCGCTGATCTTGTTTGATTGCAACAGTGAACAGGAATCCTGCTGCTGAGTATCTACATGAAAAGTTTATAGGAGAATGGGTAATGCTGTATTGGTGTTGAAATATAATAATGCTCTTCCCTTCAGCAATCAGTGACTACCAGTGTTAATGTCTCCTGAGAGCAATGCAGGATCCTCCAGCAAAGTGTAAGCATTTCCTGCAACAAAGAAGGGAACTAGAGAGGAGGCAGACATTTTCATGTCCCTTTAGAAGCTGGAATGATGTTTAGGCTTCAAGTTTGGTAATGATTATAAGACTGTTGTGTCTCAACGGTTCTCTGCTGTATCAGTTCTAAGTAATCATAAACATACTGGCGAGTTCCTTTTTATTGTATAAGCAGCTGAGGATAAATTTGTGATTTTTACCTGGAGGTGAAATATCCATAGCTGAAGAAAATGTCTGCTTTTTATGGTTAATAGGTAGGATTGTTCTATGTATATCTACACATGCACCTTCACAAACACAGTGCTGCTTGATATCCTGAAAGGTACTGCTGTTTTAGGAAGATGTGTTTGCTTTTGTGCCTGCAGAAGGCAGCTTGGATAAGTAGGATACATCTGCTCTGAAAACACAGATAGCAGGTACAGGTTTTATTGATAAAGAAGGACTTCCTTGCCATTTGCAACTCCCAGTTCCTACACTAAGAATAGGTTACTCTTCCTGTTCTTGCCTTAGTAGCTGTGTTTCTGTAATGTCAGCATCCTGCATCTTTGAAACATAAAATGTTATCAAAAATAAATTATTTTGAACATAGAATGTGGTTTTCTGCGATGTTTATCTTTTTACCTTCTTTCTGCAAAGACACCTAAGGCAGCATACAACCACAGTAACCACCAACACTGATAACAAATTTAGCTGTATTGCCCACTTTTGCTGTTTCCTCTATCCATCTCTGTGCCTTCTCTTAATGTGCTTGGTGACTTCTGAGGCTCTGTTGCCTCACAGGTACAAGTATAGAAAGAAGGTGAATTTTGGCTTTGCTCTTCTCATAGTTGCCCACTTATACTACCAAACCTATGTCCATTTAGACGAGAAACACATGAAGATGACTAGAATAGAAAGACTCTTCACTCCTGAATACAATAAAAAATTGGGACTATATATCAGAAGCACTTAAAATGCTAGAATAGGTAAAGTTTCATTTCTAATACAATTACAAGTGTTGACAATTCAGTGGCAGACATGGTCTGCTCACTGTAGCCCATTCTGTGTTTTTCTTATAGGTATTCACCTTTTCACCCAGGATTGGGTATTCTTCAAGTTCCTATTTGTGTGAGCTTTTCTTGGCACTGAGTGAATCTGGTAATTTGTAACTTTTTACCTCTTTGGTTTCTAACGCTTCCTGTGCCAGTCTGTATCTCATTCACTGGGCTTCCATATTTTGTGTGTTGCTATCGGCTTCCTCCTCAGGAAGTTCTTAGGTGCTTATTGTTAGGTTTCATTTCCTTGTCCTGTAAACCAGTGGTCTCCAACCTTGGGCCTCCAGATGTTCTTGGACTACAACTCCCAGAAGCCTACACCACCACCTCTTCTGGCCAGGATTTCTGGGAGTTGAAGTCCAAGAACATCTGGAGGCCCAAGGTTGAGGACCACTGCTGTAAACTGAACAATTCACTCTTGACACCATAAAAAGGAAATACTCTAGCTCAATTTAGTGGCATCACACCTACAATTCCAGTAGTCTTATCTGATACTGACAGATTTGAGTATTCACAGATAAGGAACTGCCACTGAAGCAAGATGATGGCTGAAATCTTGTTGCTTAGTATAGCAAGTAGTACTAGAGTAGGGCCATTGAATTACTGGAAATTTGGTGAGTCAATGCCTCTAAGTTCTATTGATTCAAATAGACCTATTCTAGTTGTGACTTGCTATGCTAAATAAGTCACATCTAGAGTAGGCCCATTTGAATCAATGGAAGTTATAGAGGATTAGACTTACCAAATTCCCAGTGATTCAATGGGTTTACTCTATAGCAACTTACTACAATTCTGTTATTTCTCTCTCTTGATACATTAAAGATTATTTTCCCCATTATACTTTGCTGTTAAATTGTATTCAGTTCTTAGGCAATTTTATCCATTCATAAGCTGGCTGGAGAGCTAAGTGCGATAGATATCTGGCTGTGGAGCCAGAGGTTGGGAGTTTGATTGACATCCAGGGAGAAGAGCCAGCTTGTGTGGCCTTAGGCAAGCAGTACAGTCCCAGGATGCCCCTGGAAGAAGGGGCATCCTTGGAGTGTTTTTTACCTATGAAACCCTGGAACATCCCCGGATGCCCCTGGAAGAAGGGAATGGTAAACTATTTTGGAGTGTTCTTTACCTATGAAACCCTGGAACATCCCTTCCCCCCAGAATTAAACATTGGCTTTCCTTACAGTTTCTTAGTTCAGTGGTACCTAATACTCCTGTTTTCTACCTCTCAAATTATACCATACAGCAGTAAGACTTTGGCTTCAATTTGTTAGGTGGACAGTGAAACTGAAATGTCTTTTTTGTAGTCATATTGTGAGTTACTTCTTAAGGGACATTCAATTTTGTAACATGAAATACCTATTCAGTTTTCAAATAATGTTTGCCAAGGATTTTAAATGAGTTGTAAACATTACACTTCCATATAAACTTGACAGTGTGGTTTAATTCTGAATTACCTCTGTATTAGTACTTTAGTTGTCCTGATTTACAGAATCCTTCCAGCTACATTAGTAAAGATGAATTCTTTATTTTTACTTGTTACTGCTGTAAGTAAAGTGCTCTTAAGTTGTTTGAGGTCCTATGACTGGTAACTGGTGAATAAAAACAACTTTGTTCTGCTGCACAGAACAAGGATTTGTGAGGTACAATCCAAAGAAAGTGAGGCATATTGAAGTTCCACAAAAATCAGTAGCATTTCATTGCACAATTAAGTACATAATGCAATTCTATACATACTGACTCAAAAATAAATCCCATTGAGTTTAGTGGGACTTACCCACAGGGCAAATGCATATAGGATTGTAAGTTATGGTGTTCATGTGGCTATATGACTTTTTGGGATTAATTATAAAAACTGTGCAACTGTAATTAAGCCATTAACTGCTATGATTGACCCATCAAGCCAGTTAGGAATAGGGATGCCATAATTACAGAGGTATTCTTCGGAGTTGCACCATGCTTCAAAATCATTTGAGCATCCTATATCTTTATTAGGCTTCAGCTTCAGTGTTTTATTGAAGTTTAAAATATATGTCCCACCTTTCTAGAGAAAAAAACCCACTCAAGATTGGGTGCTTCAGATTTTCAAATCTGAAAAAGATTCTTCTTATTCTGCCAAATAATTTTGGAAAGTATATGGGAAATTTTTCAGCCTTCAGAAGACCTTGTCAAAAAAAGTGGTCTGTGTCGTCTTTGTGAACTGGATCCACAGTGGTGATGAAACAGGCATTGTTGATCAACATTCTATCATTGCAAAGCAGGTACAAAAGAGGAGTCGGAGCCCTGGGTGACATTGACTGGGGTTTGTATCATTCTCTGCATGGTTCTCCTTTTCTAATGAGAGCTCCCTGGAAAGGAGAGGGGAGGATGAAAATGGAAGTAAGTAAAAGCCATTCCTAGGTGTATCAACTCAAAGCAGTTGGTAACTGGCAACAGCTAATATTTCTTTGTATACACAAACTGCATGGCTTGCACCAGTCCAAATGTTTGAGAGATGTTAACGTTTGCCCTAGATTAGGCATTCCTTATGGCAGAGCAGCTTTTGCCATGTAATGTCCGAAAGTGTGATTTTCGGGCACTTTAATTCTACTATGGGAAGTTGTTTTACATATGTTGGAACTTAGTGTGGTTCCTTAGCACCAGGAAATGGGGGGATTCGTATTATAATGGGTATGTGTGTCTTGATTTTCTGTGATAAAGAGAAATCCTATTTTACAAATGACTGTACACTATTTGCTTCCACAATCTGTTTTAGTAAATAAAAACGAACAGGCTGAAAGCAAAAAAACAAAACAGAAAACAAAAAACTCTTGATGTCTAGATTGATTCCAGATAGTTAAAGATTTGTACCTTATAAAAGAGAACACAAGAATAATTTATTGTGCTAATACTGCTCTGTATATTCTTAGTACAAGCAGTTGGTTGCATTGGGTCATTGGGTGGGGCAGAAAAGAGAGATGATAGTTCACAGAATAGCCTGTGAACTTTCACCCCTCTATATGGAAACTTGTTTCAGGGCCAAATCTGACTTGTAGCTGCCTTCTTGCCACGGTCAATGCCAGCCCTACTATTCGCAACACTGCGGCCATCGAGGCCTAGGTACGTAAAAGTTTAAGGCGTTTTTATAGCACTTTAAAGCAGAGAGAATGTTTTGAAATGTTTGTTTGTTAATCTTAACAATATTTAGTAGAATGACTTTTGCGACTACATTTGGTTGTCACATGTTGCTGTTGAACTGTGTGGCTAAGTCCTTTTTTGCCTTTCAAGGAAATGTTTGTATTGTGCACGGGGGGTTTTCTGTGGGGAAATGAGTACAGTTTAATAAAGTGAGGGAAATGGTTTTTAAATGAAAAAAAATATTTTCTGAAATTTCTATTTGTAAATGTTTGTGTTTTGTTCAATAACCAGGTAAATTTGGCACAAATATTGCCAGGTAGCTACTGAATAACTGCCTCTGTACACAAAATGACGAGATACATTGAAACCATAGTAGTAAATGTGAACTGATTTTTAAGTATGTATGTAACATCTATATTTAGAATTTGGGATTAAAACATTTAATTTTTGAAAAGTTTCTAGATTGAGATACAACATATATCCAACTTGAAATCTGACTTAAATTATAAAGAAAATAAACCCACTGATTTCAATCGGTTGCTTTAAAAAGAAACTTTAGAAAAGGCTTCATTTATCTTAAGAAAGCACTAAATGGAGGGTTCTTTTTTTTTACTTTTTCTCTTTGGATAGGATCAATTTCTCAGAGCTGCCCCTGTAAGGGGAGGAATGGGAGCCCAACTCATGAGAAAGATGGGATGGAGAGAAGGGGAAGGCTTGGGAAAGAACAAAGAAGGAAACAAGGAGCCTATTCTAGTTGACTTCAAAACTGATCGGAAGGGTGAGTCTTTCACTGACAATTTAGCTCCAGTCCATCAGTCAAATGGAGGAAATGGTTATTCAATAAAGATTGCTGTTCAGGATGGAAATCCTGCTTGAGCCAGAAGCATTTTTGAGGAAGTGAAAACTATATTAAAAACATTCATATCAGATACTGTTGAGCTTAGGGATTTGCAAAACACAGGTTTGCAGCCCATAACTATATTACTACAATGTATCTCTAGGTACTTTGATATTGTAAAATCTCTGCCTGAGATCTGAAGTGCTCTTTGGGGGCTGCCTGTGTGTGTTGTTTCTATTTATGCATGGTGTGATTATCAGTGTTGCTACTTTTAACCAACATTTTTGCTGCTTGGAAAGTTCCCCTGGTCTTCAAGAGCAGCTGTACAGATCATATGAATAGGGTGTGTTGGCAGCCTTAAAAACTCCAGTGCATGGATAGTTTTTAGAAGTACACCTCTCAGTTGTCAGGACAAAGTGTTAGTAAGCAGGCACAGACAAGAAAGCAATTAACTACAGCATTATTATAAGGTGCTGTGTGGACAGCCTTTGATAATGATGCAGAAAATTCAGCTATTGCCAGAGTTTGGCTGTACAAGTCATATTTGGGGCTGAAAAACTTATCCATTTATTATCACAGAGATATTGTACAGTGTCCAATATACATGATAGAGGAGGATGTGAAGAGCATATAAAAGAGATTCAAAACAACACAAAATGTATGTATTTTTGTTTGGTTTTTTTAGGCTTGGTTGCAGTTGGAGAAAAGACACAGAAGAGACATGGACCTTTCAGTGCAGTAAAAGATCTTTCAGGTGAGACTTCTGCATTTACAGAGAGTGGCTATAGTTCAACACTTCATATGTAGAAGCTCCCAGGTTGAATACCTGACATTAAAGGATCAGATGGCCTCCAGCAGGAGAGACCTTGACCTATGATCCTAGTGAGCTACTTCTAAGTACACAGTATTGGGTTAGATGGACAAAAAGTCTGACCCTGGCATAAGCTTCCTGTATGTCTGAATTCTAGTAACTGTGGCCTTGTGATATTACTAGTAAAACAAACTTTGTTATTCTTAAGGCAAACATCCAGTTTCAGCTTTGCTAGAAGTCTGTAATAAAAGAAGATGGTCACCCCCTGTATTTGTACTGGTGAATGATAATCGGCCTGAATATCGCAAACATTTCCTTTTTAAGGTAAGTTAGAATTTTCACATAACACTGCCAGTTATGTTAAAATTTGTGCTGATAGTCTGTGTTGGCACCAACCTAATTGTAGTATACATTGAAACACTGTGATTTGGAATCTTAAGATGTTGCTGTTTTCACAGAAGGTACTTTTACTAATGAAAGGAAAGTAGCCTTCATCAAAGTTAACCCTTATGGATACACATATATTTTAAAAATAGCTGATGGGAAGGACCATTGGCCTTGTTAGATACTTATGGAAACAAAGAAAAAGATCTGATGGTTCCCTTCCTCAGTTAGGGCTCTTTATGTTGATGGACAAAGACCATCTATTGGGCAAAAGTTATTTTGTTGGAGGGAAAGAACTTTAGAGCCCACGTGAAGAAAGTATAATGCTTCAGAGCTATTTTTACTCGGTGCTCTTTTTAATTTTCAGTTGACCACAGCTTGTGTATGATCAGTCAAGCTGGCAGTTTTTTTCCCCAGTGGAGGGACTTTAGCTTATAGATATTTGGACAAAATATAAGGCAGCATTCTCTTGAATATACATTAATGGTGTAGATTGATAAGCAGGAAATGAATGGGTGCAGCTTCAGGTTTTGGTTTTTAATGAAGTGGAAGTCTAGTGAAATTAAAATTGAGAATCAATTGTTTTGTTTTTCAATAGGTGATGGTCAATGGAGTTGAATATAAGCCAAGCTTTGTCAGTCCTAATAAGAAGCATGCTAAAGCTACAGCAGCTACTGTGGCTCTCCAAGCTTTGGGATTAGTACCAAAGGACCTCTTGGCTAATGCCACCAACTTTAGGAGTGCCTCACACAACTAAACTATTGTTTTTATATTAGTATGTCAGATGTTTTTATTCTGCACAAAGAACATTTCTCTGATTTTGTAAATACATAAACTCCTCACTGTAAAAACTGTACAGGCACTGTCAGGCTTTTCTTTTTGTATACGGAAAATGTATTTAAATCATTTAGTTTTGGTATGTATATTATTGATGTTAGTGATGTCATTGTTTCTTAAATTACTAAAAAATCAACACATGAATCTGAAAGTATCCATACTTTCTTTGAAAATACAAATCTTACCTTCCCTATGAAATATAAAGTACAACTGTTTTGTACAATGATGCAGGTTCCATAGTTCAGTAAAGTTTATTATAATCAGCAAAGATGTATAGACTGATTCCACAGCAGCTGGCAATGAAATTAGACATGTGTCAGGCCCTGCTTTATTTGCAAAGAGAAAATTGGCAGGTTTGCTGGATGATGCTAATGTTGCTGTTTCCTTTGGGGGAAAGATCTGTACTAAAATGAGAACCCAGCATATCCAGCAACAGAACTGACTACAATTGCAATATAATCTGCCTGCATGTTTTGGTATAAGGAACATGACATTGTAATTTTCTGTCTCAAACACAATGCCTGATGTTGATTGTATACATTCAGATGTTCAGCCTATAACTGGATGGGATGTAGAATGATGCTAATGTTGTACACAGTGTGGTCAATAAAGCAGCACAAGTTCATTCTTATTTACTGACCAATTAATAGTTCATTACGATTCAATGAATTTCTCATTAGAAAGGGTTCCTTGTAGTGAATAGGTTTCCTATTATAATTTATCTTAAAGCTGCTTATCAACCTTGTATGTGCTTTATTATTTATCATAACAGAACTCTTCAGTAATTTGAAATACTAACAAGTAACCCAGGTTACTCAAGTATTCAGATGCAGAGCTGAAGATAATGGAGAACTTTAGGTACTACTGCAGTAAGTAGTTCCCACTAGTGTAAAGTCATGGTATTTCAAAAGGGGCATTTCGTGATTAAAGTATTAACTGTACTCAGCATTCAAGTTTTCTGTGGTATTGGCTAAAACTTAATTCACCTGTTTTTAACTATTGCATCCTACAGTTTCATAAAAGTTCTACTTACGCTGGTATTAGAGTTCTAGAGTGGAAGCAGCAACTAACTCATCTATCTTCTATACCAAAATGGAACAATAAATGGGCAAAACTGAGTAGTACTGTACTTCTGCTAGTAATTTGGTTGGTACCTCCATTAGTATTTTCTCACTATGGGCAAATAAATCATAAAGGCACTTTATTCCAAATGTTAATTGCATGCATTGAATACAAGGTAAGATTCATAATAATCCTTGTACAAAGTGTGCCTTGCTTATTTGATGCTTCATGTTGCTGTTGTACAGAACAATTTCCCAGTGACATCTTTTGTTTACCACTTCTCACAAACCTAACAAAAGGAAAGAAGCATGAAGCTGTAAAGCTGCTTTGGCTTGCTTTTATACTTGGACATTCAGAACAACAGTGGTTGTCTTTATTTCTTGTATGTACCCTTACTAGAGAAGTTAAAAGTACTGTGATGACAAAGGCAGGAATGGTAGAAAGATAATCAAGAAGTTCCCCCCCTTCCCCTTTTTGTTGTGATGATGAGTTTACTACAATTTTTGTTTTGGCATCCTGATATCAACTCTTTTTGAAGTTGTAATATTTCTATGGTGATTTGAATAAAGTCTTCTAACATGTAAATACATTCATGGTGTATACTCCAGAAAAGCAACTTAAAAGTAATTTTAACTTCAGGATATAGAATTATCAATGTAGTGAAATGGTTGGGAGAGTATTACCAACTTCATTCACAGGTACGGTAACTAGTTTTGCAAAATATGAAAATATATGTAGCATCAGTAAATATGCTGCATAGAATTTCTTTGGTGTTCACTATGAAAACTCATTTTGACAAACAGTAAAAAACAAACACAAAAACTCTACTTCAGCCAGTCCATCATTATTGCTCCAACAGAAACACATGCCAAGGACATTGCCCTCTTGCATTCACATAGGTAGAAGTCTTGACTGTTATACGTAAAATAGGTTAACTATTTGTGGCAGACATGTTTACATTTTTGTTATTGTGAATATAGAAACACTGCCTTAGTGTTTAAACACAAACACACAGGAGTGTTATACAAATGGCTTCAATTGTTTGTTCATACACACACACACTGGTGCCCTGCATAGCGACGATAATCCGTTCCGGATAAAATGTCGCTATCCGGATTTGTCGCTATGGGGGGGGGGGGAACCCATAGGAATGCATTAAAACACGTTTAATGCGTTCCTATTGAGGAAAAACTCACCGCTATGCGGGGAATCCTCCATCCAGCCGCCATTTTCGCTGCCCAGTAAACGAGGGCAGGGCGCGAAAACGCTGTGGGCGGCCATTTTCTGCACCCGGCACCCATCTTGGAACCACCGATCAGCTGTTTTCTAAACATCGCAATGCAAAGATCGGTAAGCAAAATGCTTACCGATCATCGCAATGCGATGTTTTGCCACTTAAAACATCGCAATGTGATCGCATTAGCGATTGCAAAAAATGCATCGTCATGCGGATTCGTCATTAAACGGTGTGCTCGTTAAGCGAGGCACCACTGTACACACACACACACAAACAATTGTGATTGTGGATATATATCACTATAGCTCTCACTGATTTATGCACTACTTTACATTTTAACTTTCATGTTTGATTTAAATGTTTGCAAATAGTTGTTTGTCTGAATATGCTGAATATCTATATTTTAAAGGACTGACAGCAGACTAACTATGCCGCCCAGAGTAGACTTTTGGTCTAGGTGGGCGTGGTAGAAGTCTATTAAAATGAATAAAGTAGCTACAGTATTACTTATTGATCAGATTGAGAAGTGGGGTGGGGAATGAACATAAAGTATGGTAGCCTAAGCCATTTTATTTGGAAGCACTGCACACTCTTATGTACCTTTGTCATGCCCTTTCCTTTTGGTTTTATTCCCTTTCCTCTCCTTTTTCTTTTTCTCATTTCACTCCCTTTTTTGGTCCTTCCTATTGTAAACTTTACTAGTTGAATATATGTGGACAGGCTGTTTTGTTCTGCCTTTCCCTTTCATTACAATAAGTTCATTAATCTCACATGCCCATAAAACTGCCCATGTGATAGTATTAGAGGTTTCAGGACATCCAGTAAGGAGAAACAAGCTATTTGAAAAAAAAGAGTGGCTTCCCCCCCCCCCCCCAGGACCCCATCTTTTGTTGTCTGATAAAAACACATGATGTAAAGGTTGCGTACAGGATGCCTATATAGGTAGTGCCCCATTAAATTACAAGGCATTGCTATGCTAATTCACAAAAATACCCTTTCAGTGGTTAAAACTATTACAAACATAAATGTTTATATTTTGTTCAGATTTCAAATGGTAATTGCTTTGATGCATAGATATGACACAGACTCATGTGGTCTCAACCCATTTCAGTTCATGTTTAAGTCACCTGGATAGGACTTCTATTATATCCTTGGTCTGGTTTTAGACAGGAATACACACCCTTGTAAATTAAGTTCATTGGTCTAGTTTACATTAAAGGGTTAATGTCTGATTTGAAACTAATAATATTCCACTATCCCAGAAAGAGAAAAAGATTCTACTTTTTAATCATCAGTACACCAAAATGTCTTTTAAGTTTGATTATTTTTTGCTTCTTTCCCCTTACTCCAATTTCGGTCAACATTCTGTAATGACATTATCTCTTGTCTCAGATCATGCTCCCTCAATTTGTGGCATTTGTTTCTTTTCTCCATCATGGCAAATTCAAAGCCCAGATGGCTTTAATTAGAACTCAGTAATTACATAATTATTACTGTAGCCCATAATTTTAGTTTATGTATTCTCCCCTCTTTTCTCCACTCCCCTTTTTCTTTGATTTGAAATAAATAAAAAACTTTTTTAAAAAAGACTAGCAATATGTCAAGACTACGACAACTTTCTTCAGCTTGTAGGACAAATTTTGTCCAGCCATTTTTCTTGCAGAACAACCCACAAGGTCTTCAACAGATTTTCTTTCTTAGTGATCCAGTGTTTGAAAATTTCTTCTATGCGATGATTAACTATTTCAGACTGAAAATGTGTAAGATTCTGTATTACAAAGTTTAATTTAAAACAATCTCTAAAAATCAGTTGTAACAAACCTGGAAAAATAGGGGAGCAGGTGTTTTCTACTACATACACAGATATAAACTCTCACAGAATCTAACTCGCCCAGAAGGATCTGTCTAAAAGATTTGCACGTTTAGTACACTATGTGTTCTTTGGTAAACCACTTTACATAGTAATAGCAGCAAATAGTGTTTCATGGAATCTCATATGGCAGTTATTTCTTTGTTGATAGCTGTTGCTTGCTTAGACTTTCCAAGTGCAGACATAATTGTTCATTTCCATGAGCCTAATTGAAGACTTTGCTAATGATGGACAAAGAGCAAGCCGATCTAAAGTCTTAGGATGCAATCCACACTTCCAAAGGTCTTTGCTAAGTGAGTCCTGTGAAAATAGGAGACATACAAAAGCATATTTATTTCTTTGACACATTTTTACTGTGCTCTTCAGCCCAAAAGGGTTCCAGGGTGCCTTCCAGTCCCTGTTTTACATCTTACAATCCAAAGAAAAAACACAAAGAAATGGCAATGGGAAAGAAAAGAAAGGCATGGACACTCAGTCACTAATTCTCGATGTTACATATTTAAGCCATAAAGTCTTTTCTTTTCATGGAATGAAAACTGTTAAAAGAGGGACTAAAAAGACAGATTTATCAGGCTGAAACTGTGTAACAGAACCTTGTTTTCCTCTTCTGCAGTCTGATGGAACAGCACACTAGAGGACAGCTGCAAGCAAAGGCCAACAAAGCAGCAGTGCTGCTCTTATCAGTACAGTGAATTGCTGAACAGTGTATCAGTTTGTCAGGATGACTGGGATAACTTTAAAGGAGGTGAAATCCACAACTACCAAGGTTTCCCTTTTCATCATGCCTTTTTGTCATAAATTAATACCTATCTATGCACCTAACCGTATCCATTTGTACAGTATGTTCTCTTCCACTACCCAGAAGTATGTTGATGATCTTTGTGCATTTGAGGATCCACTGCTCTTTCACACCTTAGTCTTGAAATGGGAATGTCCTGCTTCGGATGTTATCTAAGAAAACTCTTGCTTCTTTCCTAGTTCCCACTGCTAAATTGCTTTTCACACTGCAATGTGAATGCAGCTAACCTCTTGGGTAAATTTCTCCCGGAAACATCCCATGTTTATTTAACTGAACAGATAACAATGCTGGGTGTGAGTGGATGCATGCTGGTTTGAGCTAGAGGACATCAGGCTAATTCATTACATTCTAAAACCCACTAAAATGTTACTCTGTTTAAAGCTTGTATGTTTCATTCTTTCATCTTTCACAATGGCCACCAATTCCTTTGGAAGAGGCACCAGTGCACATCAGATATAGGAATGGAGATACTCCAACTGTGAAAAGTCAGGTGGAAAGAAAAGGAAACACCCACCACCTTATTGATACTGGTCACGACCAAACCCAATTACTTCCTAATTAAGTGGGAAAGATTGAACATGCAATGAGGGATCAAAATGTACACCTTCAAAGAGAATCACAGGCTCTAGTAATTTTTGCTTTCACTTCCTTTCTGCTCTACCCTTCTGGGAAACTGCTTAACAAAATTAAGTGGTACCTCGACGTGCGAACGTAATCCGTATTGGAATGCATTGAAAACCATTTAATCCGTATCTGCTGTTTTCCGTTTATGTCGAGGTGCTGTTCATAGGTAGAGGCATTCGTTCCATTGGAACTAATGCAAAGCCGGTTAATCCATCCTCTACCACTAGGAGGTGAAATTTTCTTCTTCTTTTGACCTAAGGTAAACTTAGGTAAAAAAAGGGCAGGAAAGGTTTTTCTTTTTCCAGTTCGTAACTCGAGGCTCCGTTCGCAAGTCGAAGCGACTTTTTGCGAACAGAGCCATTCATAATTTGAATCGTTCGCAAGTAGGGATGTTCTTAAGTTGAGGTATCACTGTACAATGTAAGGTTTTCCACCATGGTTTCTTTTCTCACACATTTCTTTTTCCACTTGCTGTAGTCAAACAAAACTGACTTACCGTCATCATACTCTTCTCATTGCTAATGCCTGTGTTGAACACTGCTGTTGGTTCATGTGTGTAACACACTGCAGAAAAAGATCCATTCTGAGCTGACTTCAGTAGCATGGATAAAGCATGCAATGCGTGAGGCAAGACAGGGCCCACAATCTCCAAACTAAATGCATCTTTGTACTGAGAATGGACTTGTGTTTTTACATTTATGCTTCGAGCCTAGGAAAAAAGTTAAATGTTATGACATAGAAGTCCAAAGATATTTAAAATCAAACCTAGCATTCTGGGAAAAAAATTAAAATCCAACATCTGCAACAAGTGGGTCAAATCCGTTTACAGGATGGGATGGATAAATCTGTCAATTTCCATTTCTTTCAGATTCTAATCCTTCCAATTTTAGAGTCATTTGTTCTGCATATTTGCAATAAATACATCAAATAATGTGAACAAAATTCATTTGAATGTTGTGTTCATTTCTTCATGCACACAGTTCTGAACACAACTTTGCCTAATATATTCATTTTCGGAAACAACTTCTGACATTATAAACTGCTTTTCTATGTTATTCTCACAAAGGATTGGAGCCAGATTTAGACATGTGCAAGTAGGCAGAATGAAATAGAAATCCATGTTACTTCCTCACCTGGAAACACTGCCACCCTCCTACAGAGAACTGGGCAACCCTATTGAATGAGATGGGGTATAGAAAAGGGAGCTGGAAATGTCTGAAAACTGAGCAGACTCACTCCTTCAGATGGAGCTAAGCTTTTAAAATTATGTTAATATTTTTTTTACCTTGAGCGTCTGCATTGTTGCACCTCTAAAAGAATTTGGGGAGAGTAATGTGGGAGGGAGACCAGCCTGAGGCCCTGCAGAAGCCACTAAACTTTTACAATTCATCAAGAAGTTTAGCAGAGTGAATGTGTTTGCTCCTTTTACTAATGCCACCGATTCAGGCTTGTGATCCATTTGTACTTCATCTCTCTCTTTATAGCTATATAGACAAAATGTCAAGGAAAAAGACAATACTTGCATGCTTTCCTATCACAACAATGGCTTTTTGATTAATGATCAGTAAGTAGTGGGAAGGAGTATTCTTCTTTTTCGGAGGAAGGCTGGAGGCATTCAACCAGTGTGTTTTGAGCCCAGATTTCCCCCCCACCCGCTCCAGACAGGAGGAAGACAAGTACAGTGGTGCCTCGCTTGACGGGGATAATTCGTTCTGTTCAAATCGCTGTTAAGCGAAATCCTCATCAAGCGAAATGAAAAAGCCAATTGAAATGCACTGAAAACTGGTTCAATGCGTTCCAATGGGCGAAATACCTCAGCGTCCAGCGAAGATCCTCCATAGGGCGGCCATTTTCGGTGCCTGTAAAGCGAGGAATCCGTCCTAAAACACAGCGGGGAGCCATTTTCAACAGCGGGCCATTTTGAAGACCCGATGATCATCTATAGAGATTGCTGTTAAGCGAAAAATCGGTTCCCGAAGCAGGGAACCGATAGTCGTTAAGCAATTTTTGCCTATTAAAATATCATTTTGCGACTGCAAAAGCAATAGCAAAAACTTCATTGTCAAGCAATTTCCTCATCTAACCAGGTAATCGTCAAGCGAGGCACCACTGTATTAGGAAGAAGAGGAGATAAGAGTGTTTGTGATGCACATGCAAAAAATAAAAGGAGAGAAGAAAACAGCCAGGTGAAATTGTGTTTAGGAATGTAGTTTCAGGAAGTGAGGAAGAAAGCAGAAGACGCACAGGACAGTAAGCAGTAGGAATACCAATCTCCCCAATTCTAATACAAATGCCTACTTGTAGTGCGCTATATTCCACATCCTAATGGATTTCATGAAATGTTCATGGCTTGCATTTGTTTTGGCTTGCACGGAGAGTATTTAGGGATTGAACAGTTTTTCTTTGTTCAGACCTGTCACTGAGCAAAGCAGTGATAAAGAGAATGCAGTTAGCTTGCTCTCCTTGTGCATTTACTTTCAACTTAGTAACTAGAAAAGGCAAGAAATAAGCATGGTAGACTAGTCTGATGAATTAGTTAGACTAGTCTGATGACAATTAGTTTTACAAAATATGTTTTTCCAGCTTTGCCCTGATTCATCAGCATGCTTACTGGAACTATGTCAATTGATAGCACTGGCTTTTATATTTTAAAACAAGCCTACTGGGAAACAGACTGGGACTTTATATTTGAAGCCAGCCTATTTCAATCATTGCTGTTTCTTTGGAATCGAATTTGAATGTACTAGATCTCTCAAAAGGAGATGCTAGAAAAAATCTGGAAGAGCATGCTTATCTGTTTATACTCAACTACAATCCATTGCTACCAAGCCTTTTTTAGATACATGTCTCTAGAACATATCTGCAGACTCATTTAGAGACACACATTTTTAGACAGATCTGCAGATTATGTTGCTGTGTTCAAGAAAAAGCTCTGTGAAATTTAACAAATGTAGGTGTGCAATCTACAATTTCCAATACAATCCTGGCTCTGCTCTGAACAGAATGCTCTCTTTCTGGAAAGCTATCCTAGATTAACACATTTTAACCATAACACAAGAAAAAAATAATTTAATGCTGGACCACTTATTTAAGGCAGTGGAAAGCCTATGTACTTAAGAACAAAAGACATTAGAATTTTTGTATAAAATTGATTTCTCAAATTGTAAATTTATAATTAAATAGAAAATAAATGTTTAATCATCAAAAGCTGCATCCAGGAAAAGGGGTAAGGTAAGGGATGAGAATAGGAGGAGGCAGGCTTGTGCAATGAAACTTCAAGTGCTAGAAAAGAAAAGGAGATAGGAGTAAAACTGAGAAAGAGAAACAGCAATTGTGTTGGAAAAAATCAGACTGATGGTCCAATTTGCAGAATAGTACCAATTATTCTGCAGTGCAGATCCCAAATACAGTATGACAAATCAAATATTTCTGTTTCCACTCCACAAGAGGAAGTGATACAAATGATGGTTAAACAAGTCACATACAAAGCTATGATTTGCTGCTTAAAGGAAGTGTCTTATCCTTGAAAGGATACAGTTTGATAGAAATTGTATCTGGCTTTTTAATTTTGTCATGAACTCCCATTTCTTCCAACCATGAAAATCCTTCATCATCATCATCTTCATCACCACAAACACCACTCATTAGTTGTTCCCTTTGCAAAAAAAAAATCACTTAAATAATCATAATGCACAAGAATTCTGCTGTAACAGAAGTCTTTGAAATAAAATATTACAGGAAGCAAATTAGAGGTTAAAAAGAAGGCCAGGATGGGAATCCCTGTTTTCTGAATTAAAGCTAGAATTAGTTGTTGTGGGTTTTTCGGGCTCTTTGGCCATGTTCTGAAGGTTGTTCAGAACATTTCATAAGCAAGATCAGCACCCTAAAACTCAACCCTGGGGACAGACTGATCAGCTTTGACGTAGTACCCCTATTCACTAAGGTACTGATAAAGGATACTCTGACACTCATCCAGCAGATCTTTCCAGAAGACATCAAGGCCCTTTCCAACACTGCCTAATGACTAGTTATTTTCAGTGTGATAATGAATCCTATGAAGAGACAGATGGAGTGGCCATGGGGAGCCCCCTCAGCCCGGTTATAGCAAACTTCTAAATGGAGCGTTTCGAAAAACAGGCCCTGGCTTCGGCACCCTTCACACCCACAGTCTGGTTCCAATACGTGGATGACACCTTTGCAATTTGGAACCATGGTGAAGAAAAATTGGAAGAATTTCTAAACCATTTCAACAGCATCCACCCAAATATACATTTCACAATGGAAAAAGAAATAGAGGGCCAACTCCCGTTCTTAGATGTCATGGTCATACGCAAAACTGACCTCCTATTGGGACACAAGGTCTATAGAAAACCCACCCACCCAGACCGGTACCTACACAAAAACTCCAACCACCATCCACAGCAAAAAAAGAGGCATAATCAAAACACTGGTAGACCGTGCAAATCGGAACTGTGAAGCTCAGTTTCTCAGCACTGAACTCAACCATCTGAATTGGGCCCTACAGGCAAATGGCTACTCTAAAAATGAAATCACAAGAGCCATCAAACCAAGAAAACAACACCAAACTGAAGAAGAAAAACAGCCACCCACAAATAAAGCTTATCTGCCATGCATCAAAGGGGTCATGGACCGCATGGAAAACTTTTGAAAAAACACAAACTACAAACAGTATTCAAGCCCACCACGAAAATACAACAACTGCTATGGTCAGCAAAGGACAGAAGGGACCCCTCACCACTGCAGGAGTATACCGAATACCTTGCAGTTGTGGCCAGGTATATATTGGAACCACAAAACGCAGCATCCACACCAGAATCAAAGAACATGAGAGACACTGCAGACTAAAACAACTGGAAAATTGGCAGTAGCTGAACATGCCCTAAAACAAACTGGACATAAAATTCTATTTCAAAATACTGAAATACTGTACAACACCAGCAATCACTACGTTAGACTGCACAGGGACGCCATTGAAATCCACAAACAACAGCAGAACTTAAACACACAAAAAAGAAAGTTTAAAACTCAACAAAACTTGGCTCCCAGCACTGAAAAATACAGCGTGCAAAAGGTCAATGAACTCTACCCAGCCACAAGGACTGGTGATCACTACACACAAAAGACCAGCTAACGACACCCATCAATCACAGTGACAGCTAATCTCTCCTCCTGATCACAATACACCCACAACAAAAACAACTAATCACCATAATCACCCATCTCCTGAAAAGGACAAAATCTGATCCAACAGCTCTAAATACTGAACTCACAAACAAACTGCACCAGAGCACAGAGTGCTACTCCTGTCCTCTGAAGATGCCGGCCACAGAGACTGGCGAAACATTAGGAAGAACAACTTTCAGAACATGACCAAAGAGCCCGAAAAACCCACAACAACCATTAGATCCTGGCTGTGAAAGCCTTCGCGAATACATTAAAGCTAGAATTCCTTGTCATTTTATGTTTCTGGAACTAGATGGTGTGTGTCTCCCCAACTCCTCTTGTTTATATCTTAGCAAGTCTCCTAAACGACTACTAATATACCAGTAGTTTTAAAGGAGTTTTTTTAAAGCATAACAATAGATTTTAGTACCCAAACCATGCAAACCAGGTGAACAAATTTTTCCAATGAAAAATGTGCAAAGTCCCCAAAACAAGTTCTAAGTGTGTTATTACATACTCTTCATTCTCGGCATCTTTGCCATTTGTTTCAGAATCATCAGCAGATCTTGCTTCTAAATGGGATCCAAAAGCATTAAATTTCTTCTTCCTAACTTCTTGGAATGGTAAATAAAAATCAATACCTGATAAGTTGGGAGGGAGCAGAGAAAAGCAAATAGTTTACTTTTTTTTTTGGACATGATGCCATAGAATTTTGTAAGTCGTTCAGAATGTGTGTCATTCTACCTTCATTTTTCATGGCTTCTCTTAAGCCTCTGGTTGTGGGAGAGATAAGTGCTGTGATCACTTCACTTCCAGCAAGTCCTGCTGCACGGAAAAGCACAGTGAACTGGTAGGTGCACACATAGAAAAAAGGACACAGCTTGGCTCTCAAGAGATTATACAGGGAGGTAAAACTTAGAGACCTGCAAGTGAGGAAATATAGAATGGTCTGATATCAGCAAAATGATAGTCTCAGGGTGGATCATTTTAAATCAAAAAGAAAGAGATGATTTGAATTAACATTCCTACTAATACCATCAGGGGGGAAAATGGTAAAAATCTGAGGTCAGTGCAGACATTTGCTATCACATTCCAGTTGCATGACTTAGTATATGACAGTAAATGTCTACAATAAACGTCTTCATTTCTGACAATTTGCTGTTCAAATTTATGCAAAAAGAATTACACTAGCATATTTTTTCAATGGATTCTGGGAATTAAATAAAACTGTGCAACCTGTTTAGTTCATGCAGGCCACAAAATAAAGCTTTCCTTGGCAGTTTTAAAATTTTGTATACAAACAATGCAATTACCACTGAAGTCATACAGCCCCTGACCATGCACAAAGATTCAATTGAACAACTATGACTACTGCCACTAAAAAAGAGCAGCAGGAAAACAGCAGGAAGGAAAAGAGCAGAAAGTAGGACATAGGTGTACTGGGAAGAAAAGCAGAGAAAGACGTAATTATATATTTAAGCACACTGCAGTGCAAAATTAAGCTTGTAATGTAGAAAAGACTTAAGACGAGGAACTAATGTACACTGTACTTTGTGCTATTTCATCCACAGCAGCAGTACATATCTTAATATGGTGTAATACCTAATGAAATGCAATAGCACTTTTTTGATTTTGAGAAAGAGAACTCTGTGTGTGTACATACACATCTACCGATCCATTCATTCACTCCATCACAAGGAAAAACCATGAAGACTAAGTACATAACAGGGTGCATCTTCCAAGTGCCTCTGAGTTTCAGAAAACCCAAACCAAATAATGATAATAGCACTAGCCTACTTTTGGATAAGTACTGGAGACAGCTGCTGAGGAACCAGAGGCACGACAGGCGGGGGAGGGGGAGGGGGGAAAAGGTGTCTAGACCATTATAAGCATTTGTACCTCTCACATGCTGCTGTGCTGATTTCCAACTATGAATTGTTCAATTTTGTACTTTATCTTTTGTATTCTCAATTTCCCCTCAATTCAACTTGGCAGCAGAACATTTCACCAAGTTAAGAAAATGTTTTCACAATACCTGCCATTTAGCAACTTGTGATGTATATCCACTTGTAACTTACCATTCACTCATGAGAACTTGTTGGAGTGCTTCATCATAGGACCAAGGATTGTTTTTTCTTGTCATTTTTCTATCTGCTCCAATACGAGGGAACAGCTGTAGCCATGGTAGGTAAGGATGAAGCCAATATACCAGGCTTTGTTGGAAAGCACATCGGAGTTCTGTGGAGAGTTTTGGTTCCTATGATGTAAAAATGTTGAATTTCTGTTTTAGAAAGATATTTATGAAATGTCTAAAAATCTTCAATACCCTAGTAAGTCCATGGCCAATTACCTTGAGAAAATGATGAAGGGCTGGTCCATAGTTTGGATGCAAGTAACATTACTTCTAAGTGCAACAATGTTGAATTCCACTGAGAGGGTGGCATACTTAAAAAGTATGTTAGTTAGAACCAAAAATATGTAAGCGTGAGCCAGAAAAGTAAGCACAGCAAAGCAGCATAGGGCAGTATCCTGTTTATTCATGTGGAACTCCACCTGTGGAAGCACACTGTGAGGCAATGTGACAGGGTACCAGTTGTGTGACTAGCAGCATGTAACTAACATCTTGTTGAATTGCCTCAGCAGCAGGAACTCCAACCATATGCAAATATTGATCTGAATGCTGGTCAGATAGAGTTCTATTTTACGTTGATTAGTCTATTAGTTAACACTGTAACTTGCTTAATTACAAAATTGTTTCTGTTAGCCTGTGACCATTATGACTCTCACTGAATATAATGGCATGCCCCCCATTTCTGCCACATTGCAAAATCTTCATAATGACTCTATCTTGGTTCTTTATTTTGCATGTTTTAATAGCAATTCTTACAGCCTATAGGGATGTGGTGGCGCTGCAGGTTAAACTGCAGAAGCCTTTGTGCTGCAGGGTCAGAAGCCCAGCAGTCGTAAGATCGAATCTACGCAACAGTGAGCTCCCGTCACTTGTCCCAGCTCCTGCCAACCTAGCAGTTTGAAAGCAAGTAAAAAATGCGAGTAGATAAATAGGGACCACCTCAGTGGGAAGGTAACAGCGTTCTGTGTCTAGTCGTGCTGGCCATGTGACCACGGAAACAGCCTTTGGACAAACGCTGGCTCTATGGCTTCGAAACGGGGATGAGTACTGTGCCCTAGAGTTGGACACAACTGGACTAAATGTCAAGGCCAACCTTTACCTTTACAGCCTAACCCTTTTACTCTTTGCACTGATGACAACAGTATGTACACTTCTTAGGAGACACTAAATCTCTTTATAGCCATACACAAGGTCTCCAAAATTCTCAGAAATTTTCCATGTCCATTTTCTTTCAAATATGACAAAGAATTCTTTTGGGGGGGGGGCATCTTTATAGATTTTCTTGCATCTCACACATATCTACCTTCTAATATTAAGATGCAGACCATTCAAACTACTTTTTATTGAATGTACAAGATCTTATATTACGCCAGAGCATGTTGAAATAAACCACCAGTGAAGAAAATAAGAAGCCAGCAAGGAATATTATTTTTAGACAATGTTCCAGGTACAGAATCAATGGAAGACAAGTTCTGATTTTTATCCTGTTGAATAAATATTTCTAGACAAGGAAAGACAGGCAACAGAGATACACTAGGAAATACAGTCACTCAAATACAATGCTGAACATGATAATACAGTGGTGCTTCGCATAGCGATCGCTCCATATAGCGAAGAAATCGCTTTGCGACGCTGTTTTTGCGATTGCAAAAGCGATCGCTTTGCGATGGCCCCTATGGGGAAAATTCGCTTTGCAATGATTGCAGGGAAGCAATCATCGCAAAGCCCCCATTTTCAGCCAGCTGATTGGCAGTTCCAAAATGGCCACCTGCTGTGTTGCCTCGCTTTAGAGGCACCGAAAATGGCCACCACAATGGAGGATTTTCGCATAAGGTTAGTTTTGGTGCCCATAGGAATGCATTGAAGGGGTTTCAATGTGTTTCTATGGGCTTTTTAAAATCGCTGAGCGACGAAATCGCTTAGCAGCGATTTTTGCTGCACGGATTAACATCACTAAGCGAGGCACCACTGTACATTGCAAAGAAACATACTGAAGTATGAATTAGTCCTTTTCTACTTCAAGTTAACTCAGATTTCAATTTCTCCAGTCTATTCTTCCACTCAGAGGTTAAATAAGTTAAATTACCTGAATGCTATGAGGCAGATTTGTTACTGTTGCTCTGCAGTGCTGGACATGTCCTTGAGACTCTTCCTGTGCTTTTATGTGATCAGCCCATGCAAATGATTGAGAAGACGTAAAAAGAATGCGAGTTTTAATACTCCAATCTGCAGGAAATTCACAACTTGGGGAAGAAGGAACATCTATATTGGAAGCTGCCAAATATGGGTCCTTGGAAAACACAAATGTTGTACAAATTACACACACAAAATTATTTCATTAATATGCCATCCATTTATCCTTCAGGAGGAACATGGCCTCTTTTTTTGGTCAGCATTGAGCACATTGTAGTGGTATATAGGACACTAAGCTAGCCAAACGTAAGAGGTTTAGGCAGAATTTGAAACCTGGAAATGAATTTGCTACACAAAGACAAGAAAACTGCTTAAAGAATAAATGGATGTACTGTTTAGAGAGAACATACACAATCCATAGGAAACAATGATCTTAGTAAGATACACTTGAAGGGGCAGCAAAGTAAGAGCTATATGGAAACAAGTTCTTGTCTTTCATGCATTTCATTTCCTTTCGTCCCTCCATAAACACCCTCAATGAGACTAAAGTAATAGAAAGGAAACCAAATGCATCAGTTACTTGGCCTCCCTTCACTTCTTTGCCTGTCCCCCTAATAACATACTACCAAGTAACATACTTGTCAGCAAGGAAAAGAATGTAATATGTCGGTCCCATATAGATTTACATAGTTGATACTTTTTGCCTTGATGAAAGCATATCAAAGGCTCTATTTCAGTACCCACATTATTAGGTATGCAGCTCAGCAGCAGCGCACAGGCTTTGTACACAGAACAGCCCAGGTTCAATCCTAGTACCCTGAGACAAAGAAAAGAATCGTGCCTGAAACCCTGGAAGGCTGTTGCCAGTCAGAGCTGAAAATAGTAGGATACCTAATGGGTTCAGTATAAAGTAGCTTCTGTGATTCCGTATGAGGATAATTGTCTGTTTATAAAGGGACTGCTTACAAGGTAAGGTGGAGATATTTGGTGGCATGCTGGAATGCATGCACAATGCAAAGAGATTGGGCCCTGTGTGCTAAAATTCTAATGCACTCTCATTTAAATACATAGCAATTATGAATCTTACACTTAATGAGCCAACAGCTAAGGTTTCAGAAAACTCTTTACTTGAGAAAGGCTTGTCCTCTTGAAGACCACCTGTGAACTGGAAAAGTTTATAGTCAGAATTTCTGTTACCAATATTTTCATTAAACCTCACACAAGCATAATTACATTGTAAATTAACCAAAGAGTGCTTTAGCACTCTGGAGCTGTATGTAAGTTGGAATAGCAACAACAAATTCTAAGTTCAACAATTCCTATGAACTTATTCTGTAAGTATTAATGAGCATCCTTAACAGTATTCTATTAAATTAGGTCAACATACCTCAGTATGGAATCCACTGACACTTTAGATTTATTTATTTATTTATTTATTGGACTTATATACCACCCCATAGCGCTACAAGCACTCTCCGGGAGGTTTACAATTTTAATTATACAGGCTACACATTGCCCCCCAGCAAGCTGGGTACTCATGGATTCATTAGATACTGGCTAAACATGGATGTATGTATCTGTATTTGTTTAGCATTATTAAAAAAGGACACAATATTTTCAAGCTTTATTTATTTCAATGTTAATAGAGTGAAACCTGTCCTTATATGCATCCAAGGAATATCAGTAAGATGCAGAAGGTGTTCCCTTTGGCTAAGTGATAACAAGGTCCTTCAGGGAAAGGGGAACTCAATATACCTTTATCAGTAAGGGATATGAAAAGCAAACCATCAGAAACTCTCAGTCTAATTCTATTAATAACTCTTTCAGTACAAACAAAGAAAAATGCACTTTTTGGAAACAAGCATCTTCAGGATGAAAATAGTTCAGAGAATTAAATACTTGTTTGGGAAAGATAACAGTGTTTTAAGCTAAATATTCCTCATTTATTTTTCTGCAATAAGCAGTATTATCTTAACAGTTCCCAAAGAAGTAGCCCTTGGCATGCTGGCAAAATGGAAGGAGAAAAAAACAGGAAAAAGAAAAAAGGAGGGCAAAATATTGTGGCACTTCGAAGACTAGTACATCTGTTTCAGTATGAGCTCTCTGAATCAAAATCCACTTCCTCCCACTTCCTGGTGATTTGTTAGTCTTTAAAGTGTCACAATATTTTGTCCTTTTCCGCAAGAGTGTCACTTTAGGAATTCAGCCACAATCGTTTCTTATACAACTTGAAATTTTAATGACATCACCTATTACTAACACACGGAGCTAAGTTTTCAATAGGATTGAAAGTGTGCAAAGGATGGTCCGCAAGCAGCCCTGAGTGAACAACACCATCCAAAACTCCTTTTAAATAACAAACGTCGGAGTGCAGAGCTAGAAGAGGCCCTATGGATGGATCATCAAATCCAGCCGCTGTCAAACCCACTCGAGCCCTGAAGAAATGGAGCTTTCGATGATCGGCGCCCACTTGGAAGCCTTACGAGGAGTTCCCAAAGAGAATCACAATTCTGAACGGCCCACTAACGAGGCCTGTGAAAAAGGAAAAAAGTGGGAACTGGCCCACAGTTACACGACGAGGGAAAACAAGGGGTGCGTGGGAGTGGGTGGCAGGGAGGAGGGAAAAGGCCGTTTCTCCGAGGACCTTTCCCGGCCTCCAGGCTGAGAGGGGCCCACGTCTTTGCAAGGCCTCCTCCGAAAAAGGGACCCTCCTCACGAGGGAGGGGGACGGGGGTTACCTCCCGGCGGGCGCCGCCGTCTGTCTCGGCGCCGGTCTCCAGCCAACGCAAGCCTTTCCGTCCCGGCGAAGGGATCCGGCTGGGCCGCGTCGGAGGGCGAGGCGTGTTCCCCAAGTCCAAGAAGGGGTTGCGCCTCCGGCTCCCAGGGTAGGGTCGAGGGGAGAAAGCGGGGTCCCCGAGGGCGGCGGCGGAGCCCGAGCCTTCGGAGCCGGAGGCCGCTTCGCTTCTCCGAGGCCTTTTCCTCTTCAGGCGGAGGGTCTCGGGGGGCCTCTTGAAGCCAGGGGAGTACCCAGGCACCACAGAGAACATCGCGGGCGCCTCCCCTCCGGTCCACCAGGCCGGGGGAAACGCTCAACGGGTTGCCGCGGGACGAATTTTCGCGCGAGAAGCGGAGGTCCCGCCTCGGGGGGCGGGGGCGCCTTGCCACTTGCCCGCGCGGGAGCCGCCCAATCCGGTCCGAGCCCTCCCGTTGCACCGCCCCCAAAAGCGCTCCGCCCTTCCCCGAGCAGCCTATCGCGAACGCCGTATTCCTATCCACGGATTTGAGGTGTGCGCCTGCCACAATTTTTTTTTAAAGGGGGCGGTTCCTCCTCAAGATACGCAATAGGGCAGAAGGCTGCCGGGGTTGCAGGGAGTCGCTGCCCGCCAGCGCGGGAGTTCCTGGAGCAAAAGCCGGAAGTGGCTTGTTTTGTGGAAAGGCCCAGAATGTCAGTCCTTTCAGTAGTCAGAACACACCCTTCGTACGGAAACTGCTAATACTGTGATTGTTGCGCCAGAGGCGGCTTGGTGGATCCTGACAGTGACAGCCTCATAAAAATAAATCACACAAGTCAGGTTCCTTTTACTTTAAAGGAGGAAAAGAAGACTAGAACTTTGGAAGAACCTCGTCGCAAGCAAGTTATTGGTGCTGCCACCAAATTTCAGGCGAGAACGTTTATGAGGGTTGGCTTCTAAGGTTATCAAATCACTATTTAAATGAATAAAACATAGAACACGTATTGCACTCATCAAATAAATCTTGCAGGCTGGTATCATTTCAGGGCCGCAGGCAGTAGAGGGTAAAGGCATAGGGAAAGGACACTGTCATGAAGTGTAAAATGGAAAATAGGCTTATGATGCTCAAATTTATTTAACTGGTTTTTAAAATGCTTCATGATACTAATGGTTGAACTCTGATAGTAAGTCCCAAGTAGAGTAGGTCCACAGAATTGGAGGGGATGGGATGAGTCAACTCCTCTGTAAATTCCAATTATTTAACAGGCCTACTGTAGTTGGGACTTGCTACCGAATTTCAGTCAGTAAATTACTGACCAGCACAAAGATAAAGCTTCATGGATCTTTGTGAAAGTGGGCTCTAGCCCATTAAAACCTGTGCCACGATGAATGTCATTAGTGCAAAGTGTGCTGCTTATATACTGTATCACCCTATAAGCTTAAAGCACTCTGTGGGCGGTTTACAATTACAGTGGTGCCTTGTAAGACAAGCGCTCCGTTTTACGACAATCGCATAACGAAATTTTTGCAATCGCAAAATCGATCGCAAAATGATGTTTCCTTTCGCAAAAGCGATCGCAAAACGATGTTTCCTTTGGGTTTTGCTTTACGATGATCGGTTCCCTGCTTCGGGAATCGATTCTCGCAAAATGATGATTTTCCTACAGCTGATCGGCGGTTTCAAAATGGCCACTGGGTTTAAAAAATGGCCGCCTGCTGTTTTCTGGGACGGATTCCTCGCTGCATGGGCAGCGAAAATGGCCACGCTATGGAGGATCTTCGCTGGCCAGTGAGTTTCAAGCCCATAGGAACGCATTAATCGGGTTTTAATGCGCTTCTATGGGCTTTTTAATTTCGCTTTACGATGTTTTCGTTCTACAGCAATTTCGCTGGAACGAACTAACATCATAATGCGAGGCACCACTGTATGCAGGCTACACACTGCAAGCTGGGTACTGAATTTACTGCTTTGGAAGACTGAGTGAACCTTTAGCCCGCTACCTGGGATCAAACTCAGGTCATGAGCAGAGTCTTTCCTGCAATTTAACCACTGCACCATGAGGCTCCTAGTGCAAGTGCTACAAGCACAAAGAGTTTTGTGCCAGAAACATAAATGGTTGTAAAGAAAGCCAAACATTCTTCCTTCAAACAGTGTAAGTAACTGCAAGTATTTCTTCAGTTTCAATTCTGTTGTGAATATTCATTTTCTCTGGCAATTAATAGGAGCCTTCTGTTCCTGAGATAACAGTATACTGCTGTAGCCTATTTTGCAATAATATTTTTTCTAGGTAGGAAGTGCAAGTTACAATCTGATCCTACTGTTTCCTTGTGTGTGTTCTGTGCCATCAGGTCGGAACCAACTTACAGTGACTCTAAAAGGGCTTTTCAAGGTAACTGAATGTTTTTACCAGTTCCACTTTCCTACTCAGTTTCCATGGCTGACCGGAGAATCGAACCTTGTTCTCCAGAGTCCTATTTTATCACTCTGTCCACCATCACACTGCGACTCATTAGAATAAATTTAATAGTACTTAAGTTACTTACAGTATAATTGCAGCCTACAGTGAAATAACTTGCCCCAAATAAAGAAAAGAACAAGTGGGATGTAGTAAAATTCAGTGATAGCTGTCAAGGATTGAAGATCATTCAGATCACAAGATTTTTCTTTATCTGTTTTGATTTTTTATTAATATTGCTGGACCGTGTTAATGGCCACAATGAAGAACAGAATGACTCCAGAAAGATCAAACACACACTGGAAATCAAGTTAGATTAATAAAGCACTTATGACATCCCTTTTCAACATTAAGATTTTCTCCTGATGTCCTTTTCCAATTTTGATAGGATTTGTCTTTCATTTTATATAACCAGGGTGGACAACCTCCAGGGGTCAGGGTGTCACCTGGGACCACCCCAGGATACTGGCTAGCTGCACCCCTGAAAACATTTTTTTCTTTTTAAAGGGCTTTTTAAAAAAGTAACTGAAAGATTCCCCCTCACACCCTCTAGTGTCCAAAGTACATCTTAAAATAAAAAACAATATTTTTAAGGGATGGGAGGCCCTAAGACTTATTTGAAACACAGCAAATCTTCTGCAGTGTGCAAGGGGACTTTTCTGGGAGAGGAGCAAGCTTTTCTAGAAACTTCTAAACATTTTGGGGAGTTTTGGCAGTCACTAAGTGTTTGCAAGCAGGGCACTGGCTGTTCTTTTCCCACTTCATTATTTAGTACTCAGAAATTCAAAGTAAACAAAAAATACATATACACAAATAGAGACAAGACAAAGGCAAGCGTTGTCTCTTCTAGCCACAAGAATTACTTTAAAAGAGATTTAAAAGAATTGGAATATAGTGGGATATTCTCTCAGTCCCTAACAGAAATCTTGCTTTAAAAATGATGAGAGGAAAATTAAAGCTTTCCCCAGAAACTGCTGTTTCTTTCCCCAAACATCTAAACATTCTTTAACTGCGGATTACAAGATGAGCTGGGATTTATTGAACAATGTTTTATAAATAAGGAATTAAGACAATGTTTACAAACGTATATTTGGAATGATGTTAAAGCTTCAGAGCTGGACAACTTGCTTTTTTCTTGCTTGATTCTTCTGAACCATTTCCATAGAAACTTTAGCTTCATATAATGGGACTGGCTCATCCAAAAGAGGCCTAAAAGAGAATAATGTCTGAGAAGTGTCTCAAATGTATGCTCAAATGAAAAAAATAAACAATGTAGGACAATTGCCACAGACTTTACTTTTTAGTAAAATAAACACTTCTGCTTAAATAAACTGGAATTCGTACAGGGTGCCTAGGATTCCTGGAACAAGAGGGCAGAGGAAACAGCAAATAAGAAGTCAACATTTAATGTATTACAGCAATTCAAGATGGCATTTAAATGTAGTTTTAAAGATAACCATTTCAAAATGCCTTGGAAAACTGTTCAGTCTCTGCACCTCTGTACGTTGAACCCATGCTATATGTTCACAACTATTATTTAAATATGAACTACTGGAGAAATTACCCTTAGAAGCTTATTCACACCAGAATACCAGTTCAGGCTTCTTTGTTTCTGGCCTAGTTCACAGTTACGATTTGAATAGGTACCTGGAATATGGACAAGTGGCTGTTTTTAACATAATGCACCTGCAGCAGAACTTTATTTATTTATTTTATTTATATCCCGCCTATCTGGTCGTGTGAGGACCACTCTAGGCGGCTTTGATTCAAAGTGTGTACATATAGAGTAACAAAAGGATTATCCCTCAGCAAATTAGATGGAAGAGAATGAAATTTTCTTCCTGGTGGTTGTTCTGGGTTTTTCGGGCTCTTTGGGCGTGTTCTGAACGTTGTTCTTCCTGATGTTTCAGCAGTCTCTGTGGCCGGCATCTTCAGAGGACAGCAACCTGTGCTCTGGTGTAGTTGGCTTGGGAGTGCAGTATTTATGGCTGAGATAGGCTTTTGTTTTTTTCCTGTAGGTGGGTGATTAGTGTGTATTGTTGTGGGTGTATTATTGTGCTAAGGGGAAGAGATTATCTGTTCCTGTGGTTGATGGGTGTCATTAGCTGGTCTTTTGTGTGTAGTGATCCCCTGTCCTTGTGGGTGAATAGAGTTTGTTCACCTTTTGCACGTAGTATGTTTGATAGCTGGGAGCCAA